TTAAAACCTAGATGGATAAGGTAAGGACAATGTCAGAACTAGCTTCTTTTGGACGCATAAATTAGGCTTCTTAATATGGATCCCAACCACCTCAGCCATATGTACCAGACGAACTGTTAAAGCGAAATTAAGATTTGTTGGTAAGCGAAAATGTCTTCGAAAGCCTCGCTGACATCAATCTTGTGTTCTGTTGTATCCACAAGATGAGATAGAATAGAGCTTTTTGAATGGATTTTGTTTGTCCTTCACTTAATCACGCGTAAAGGTGTTTGGAAATTAGACGATAAACATGCTCAAGTGCACGGCCTATGTAAGTGGCTCCACAATAGCAGTTAAATAGGTAGAAAAATATAGAAGAGGCAAAATCAGGCAGTTTATCTTTTACTCGTGAACGCAAAAGAGGAGTGGGTGGTTTTGAAGACACAGCATAATTCAGGAGCAGGGAATGCTTATTTTATCGCATTCCTTAGGCATTGTGTTAATTATCTCAATGATGTTATCCCCGAGGACCTAAAGTTGTAAAAATAAGGCTTTTTTGGCCTTATTACTGATGCTAACGAGGCAGCTTTTAAAGTCATTTACCACATGCTAAAAGATCTTAGCTTCACCTTAAGAGTTCATCTACTAAAAATATTGCTGAGGCCACTGGGACACGCATTAAGAAGCCTAACTTATGTATTCTCAAGAAGTTGGTTCAGACACAATCCTTACCTTGTTGGCCACCAAGGTTCAAATGATCCTCAGTTTTTTGTAGAAATTTCTTTAATTTTATTAGATATTCTATTTGCTATTACACTTTTATGCTTATAATAATGTATGCATTTTTCGTGAACTGTAATTTCATTTTGATCTTACTTTACAAATCGATATTATTTAAAAAACACTAATATTGTTTCATACATTTATTCCCCTTAATGAATTTGATTGAACAATGCAAGAACTACAGTTTTAGCAGAATAAACTGGTACTATCTTTTATTTCGTTGCCTTCTCGTCAGCTGCTAACAAGCCAGACACATTACTAAATATATCTACAAAAACAACTTTAACATACTTGCACATAGTTCATTTTAAACAAAAATCAATCAATATACTCATACACTAATTATATATATATATATATATATATATATATATATATATATATATATATATATATATATATAATAAACACTATTCCGAACAACAATAATCATACACAATGAAACCTTTTCAGCATTTCACATCCAGACAACTTTGAACGACTTTTCGACGTCCACCTCATGACCCGTGTCGAGGAGATGTCTGGCGATGGCACTGTTTAAAGCATTTGTTCCCTTTAGACATTAGCTTTTTGGTACATGCTCGGAAAATCGTAGATATGCCCTTCTTCTTTCTGTCCTTCCAATGTAACTACTCTCGCAGATACATGTAAATTTGTATAAAAAGTTGGAGTTGTTAACATGATAAGGATACCTATCGATTTTTAATTGCACCAAAGAGCAAGTTGTCCGATAGACAGGAACGAGCTTAGCTGCAGGATAGGCTATGGCTAGTGATGTATGTACTCAGCCTTCTGTTGATCATCGCTGCAATGTTTTCACCTTTATAATCAAGCTGAAAGTGATTTGTTTTACATTTGTGACTTAAAATCTTTCATACTTGTTGATGAACCTTTGACGGTAACCAGTGCTCTTCAATATCTTTTCAAGAAACTCAAATTCTTCCTCTAATTTATCTATAGAGCATATTATCCTCACTCTATAGTATAGAGTCTTGACTAGACCACGTTTAAAGCTATTTGGACAGAAGCTATTAAAATGTAAGTATTGTCCTTTCCATGTAGGCTTTCGATAAATTGACTTTTGAAGACTACCGTCTTTCAGGCGTCCCATGGCAATGTCGAGGAAGTAAAACCCTCCGCCACTTTCATGTTCCATAGTAAACTCGATATTGGTGTGTACATCACTGAATAATCTGAGTAAGTGTGAAGCATGACTTTCACTGTTGCACACTATAAATTTGTCGTCAACATAACGACAGTAGGAAGTTGTTTCGTCGATTGCATGCTTCAACTTTGTTCTTTCAAGGTTGGAGATGAATACATCTGCTAAAACAGGGCTAAGTGAACCGCCCATAGCTACACCATCTATTTAGCAGTAAAAAGTGTTGTCAAATTGGAATTTCACATCCATGGTACACATAAGCAGTAGGCGTTTGAATTCCGACTCTGGGAGTATGTCAAAATTGTTGTTGTAGATATATTTAATGTCTTTGTCGTAGAAGCAGATGACGAGAAGGCAACGAAATAAAAGATGGTACCATTTTTTCATTAAGTTAAGGCATTCAGACATAATTCAACCCCTCACGTTAAAGTTTCTCAACTCGTACATCTTACCCATTCTTCCTCACTGGTCACCCTTATTCTTTCCTGGATTGCTTAAAAAGGCTGTGTCATAGTTCGTAGAACTCTGAAGACTGTCAGTCAGTAGGGCGAGCGGTGGCATCCCATTGGACCATATCATTGACACTGTCACTGATAGGCACTTGATTTCAACCAACAAATTTGCAAAAGGAATTTTGTCAGACTGCGAGCAGCCACTCTACCCACAGCTCCAACCTTGTGTCTCCTCAGGTAAAACAAGAAATCTTTTCAGAAGACTTTATGCACGTACGTCTAAGTATAAAAATTCCACTATACCATATTTGGCGGTACGTACTTTATGTGATGAAAATAGTATTAGATATGAACTAACTAACCTTCTTTGCACTATTAAATAAACCATTTCCTCCACCCTTACAGCATCAACCTTTACCGTTATTGTTCTTCTTGTATTTTTAATCCTCTCAAGTTTTTGTTTTTTGATTTGTTTATTTTTTCATTAGTGTGAACATCATTTAAGCTGTGTGGATAACTGTTAATTTTGTATTTTCCCTCGCCAAACTATTTCAACAGAACCTTAGATTCAATAATCTATAACATGCTAAAATTTCCAAACTGAATCGACAGTACTGTTTGAAACAAACTCACTGTTATTATTATTGTATTTAATATTCTCAATTCGTGCTTCGAATATTTTTGACCTTATATCGTAAATGTGGACAAATTCCACTGGTTACTTTAGTTTTAAATTTTAATTTTATTTAAGTAATTTTAAGTCAATCAGATGCAAGATATTTTGACAAATGCTGAGATTTCCATTCTGTATTATAAGTACTGTCCGTTTTGGAATAAAGTAGATTATTATTTGTGAAAAATTATATTTGTGTAGAATCTCAGAGAGATTGAAATGAGTAATTCCAACGTTTCTTGCGTTCGGCAATCTTGTCCGGACTTCTTCAGGGAAATTAATCGAAATTAACATAACACACGTCTATATATAAAAGGGAGAGACCTCTTGTTTTTTAAAAAAACTTTGTCCAATCATGGGTCATTAAACAAGTATTAACAAGAATAATAAACAAAATTGCATGAATTTCGACAAAACAATAGGAAGACGTAGTTTATCTGAAACGTATAATTTATTGGCGCAACACATTTCGGACATTCTGATCACGTACTTGTCATACACAGTTTTTATATAAGGCAAGAAAGCATGAATAATTACAATATAGGTCAGATTGTGTACAGGTCAAGGTCACAAAATAATGGGTAGGGAGACGCAAAAGGTGTGGGTAAGAAAGATAAGGGGAGGAAAAAAAAGGCAAAGAAAGGGTTTGAAAATATTATGAAGTAAAATAAAACGATCTGTCTACAAGAAGTCAACATGGACTGGACAGTATCTAAATTACTATAGTTTCTGTCCACTACAGTTTAAAAAGGCGTTGGTTAAGTGTTTGTTCCAGCGCGTTCACCGTATATGTACCGCCGATACAATTGAAGAAGAAAGACAACATCTCACTGAAATGTTGTTAGATAACAATTACCCACTGAGATTTATTAGACGTTATGGAAGTGTCAACCACACAGCTTTACCAATCCAATCAGTTCCCAAAAAGGACGTTTACATATCCTTGCCGTTCAGAGGTGATCAACAAAGTCTAGTCACTAGAAAAAGACTAAAGGCCGCAATTAGTAGAACCTATTATGCAGCTAAACTTATCTTCATAGAGAAAACGAAAACTATGCTGTCCTTTAAACCCTCACATTATCCGAACGATAGTGTCACATCCCACTGTGTTTATAAATTTACATGTATGTGTGGAGACACGTACATAGGGAGGACCCATCGGTCTCTGCATGTTAGGGCTACAGAACACATTCCAAAGTGGCTGCAACAACAAATGAAATCGCCAGATATAATTGACCCCGGAAATAGATGTCCAACATCATCTATAGCGAAGCATATTATAGAGACGGGTCATAAGGTTGATTGTAATAATGCCTTTAAGCCGATATATAAGACAAGGTTGGGTCACATACTTAAATTCATTGAAGCCTTAGCCATTAAAAGACTTAAACCTGTCTTATGCGTCCAAAAGTTATTTGTTATCACCTTAAACCTGCCTTGGTAATCCAGCTTAGAACCAAGGACCAATTTTACTTCATATTATTTTCAAACCCTTTCTTTGCCTTTTTTCCTCCCTTTATCTTTCTTACCCACACCTTTTGCGTCTCCCTCCCACATTATTTTGTGACCTTGACCTGTACACAATCTGACCTATATTGTAATTATTCATGCTTTCTTGCCTTATATAAAAACTGTGTATGACAAGTACTGGTGTGTGTGATCAGAATGTCCGAAATGTGTTGCGCCAATAAATTATACGTTTCAGATAAACTACGTCTTCTTATTGTTTTGTCGAAAATTGCATGAGCTGTAATCAAGATTTGACCTAATTTCACACTAATAGTGATATCGACTACTATTCTAGAATATTCTATATATATAAACACGCACATATAATTGTAGAGCCAGAAGAGGGGGAATTTATCAAAAACAAAGGATATTTTATAGATGTTTAAAAGAAAATTTTCGTTATATAATTAATTATATTTTGTTTATGGTAACTTCAACTTACTTCTTCACTTTCTGAATCTTTTGATCTACTCGTACGAGTGAATGATTTTGTTGTCGGTGATGTAATCGATAATGGAGTAGTCAGTCCAATTGGTATACGCATTATAATCATAATAAAAGCAATTGATAAACCCACCATATACGGTTGAACATATAATACAATTATTTCAAATAGAACCAATGCAATAAATGAGAGAAATGGTCTTTCCCAGGAGTATAATCTTTTAAATATTTGATGACCACGTTTAAAATCATCTATAAATGGTGTTAAACGATCAATATTACGTTGGATAAGCTGCATGAATAAATCAAAAGACAGAGAAATCATGTAGAGAAATGCTGGTAATTGAATATTGTTTTGTGTTGCTGGCTTCAACGTCTACAAAGAGTTTGGAGGGGGGGTTAGAGAATACATTCAAAAACAATAGTTAAATATACATATACATTCATAATAATTAAAACAAAGGAATCCCTTGGCACTGCTGGCTGTGATTGAATGCGGATGCATTGTATTCATGGGGTTGAATGATTGAATGATTGCAGCATCGTGGGAGTTACGATAGACGACTACGGCAGTAGTACGGCCCCATTTCAATCTGTTCTCTTCTGTCTGTTTATTTTCCATTGATTCTACGACTGCCTTACTATTGTTATTGTTCCCTTGGGTTCCTAGTGGAACATAGGGCTTCAACTCCACGTCTTCACTTGCCACTTATGTCTTCCTTCTGCTGTACTTTTCATCTGCATCTATGTTAGTCCGTACTCTTTCAACTCCTCTTCACACGACCTCCTCCATGTCACCCCTGCACTGACGTCCCACTCGCCGCTTGCTTCCCTTTCGGCCTGGCTCCACTCGAGAAATGGCCTGACGAGCACGCGATGTCACCCGGCGACCTCCTCAGCGAGCGAATGTCTAATTCTTGTTTTCTTTGTTCCCATAGTTCCTTGTTGGTGCTTCTTTCCGGTCCGGCCATCTGATCTTCGGTATAGAGCGATGGTTAACAGTTGTTGATAAAGGTCTGGTCTGCAAAAGGCTGTTGGAAATATTCTTTGTGACCCGCCCGCCCGCCATGTTTCTGATCCATTCCGTATAGAAGAACTGACTGACTTGACGTTGTTTGTATTGAAAATCCGACCGAATTTTGTTGTTGATGCTGGCTGAGTGATGAAGATTTCCAGATTGGTTGTTTCAGGTTGATGAATGTCTTTCTCGCCTTCCCGATTCTCGATTTGAATGAAGTAACCCCTTTCAAATCCCTCCTATTGATGGTGATTGGCGCTGGATGTTGTTGTCGTTGTTGATGTTGGTCGGTTATTTTCATCACCTCCGTCATGTCTGTGTTCACCTGGAGTCCTTTCTTCGCCGGCTGCTTCTTCGACCAGTTTGTCGGTCGGTTTTCGCTTGTAAGTCTTCGATTTTGTGTGACATCAAACATAAATCATCCACGCGCGAAATCCAGGTCTTCTAGGTTCTTCACGTCGGTCGGTCCAGAATATCCCTGTTTCTCTTCTCGTTTCCCACTCACTGTCTGACGTATAATCCAGTCAGTCCACCACAATTAGGAATATCACTGGTGATAGATAATAAGCACCCTTGTCTGACTCCTGTGTTTACTCCAAACGCCTCACTGAGTTTTCCGTTGTGGATCACTTGACATGTTCCGTTGTTGTCGTACAGCTGTTGAATAAGGTTGGTGAATATTTGGGCGCTGCACGCCGTAGTACTCGAGTAGTTTCCAAATTACTTCGCGGTCAACGCTGTCTGTCGAAGGCCTTCTCAAAGTGTATAAAGTTGAGGTAGAGGTTTGATTGCCATTCCATGCTTTTTTCTGTGATGATGATGATACCTAGAGTTGGAATTTGGTCAGAATATGATTTGCCTGACCTTCCTGAATCCAGCTTGTTCTGGTCGGAATTCGGTATCCAGTACGTCGTTTATTCTCTCCAGTATGATGTAACTCAGGATTTTACCTGGCATCTACAAGAGCATGATTCCTCGCCAGTTCTTGCAGAGTGGGGTCTAAGTCGCCATTCTTTAGTAGTTTCACAAGGTGATAACCTTTCCTGCAGTCAGTAGGCACCTTTCCCTCCTTCCTCCCAAGGGCGGAGGGTTATATATCACGCGATAAACTCATCTGAAAATTCTAAACATTTTATAAATACTGTTTTGAATACAGATTTTAGTATCAAAAAATATTTGTTTGTGACCTTAGCCTGTAAATGATTTCACTTGTATTGTAATCATTTATGCCATCTTGCCTTTCATATAACTGGGTCTGACAAGTACGCCTGTGTCTATGTGCGTGTGAGCAGAATATCCGAAATGTGTTGCACAAGTAGACATTATGTTATACATTTCAGATGAACTACACCTTTCGTGCTTCGGTGGCATGGCGTTCGCCAACCATGTACATGGTCCGGGGTTCGATCCCCGGCCGCCAACGCACATCTCTACATCGCTAAGCTAGAAATAACGCTGGTACAGAGGTAAGGTTGGGCATGAGGCTAGCAACCTCATCCTGTAAAATTGAACACTGATACAGAAACTTCAAGACATTAGCTTGAGGCACTTCACTAGGAACATGAAGGAAGGAAAAAGGTCTCTTTATGTCATCGTCCAAATTCATAAACAGAAGTTGTTGATTTAAGGCTTATCTGCTGTGTAACCAGTTAGACTCAATTCAGAGAGAGGAATCATATTGGAATATTTGAATTTTAGATAGTAATTCAGACGTTTCCACATTTAATTAGATATAATCCTAATACATTCGAAGTGAAGAGGTTGGTAGGTAAAGTGCAATATTAATAATGATAGTAGTGATAGTAATAATAATAATAATAATAATAACAATAATAATAATAATATAGATATCGATATAAGAATAAAAGTTGTGCATTGTGTTGGAGTATATTTCCATTATAGGTAAAATTTATTTTCATGAAGTCTCACAGTCTTGTTATACAGTAAGTAATATTTACTGATGACAACGTCTCGTGCACAATTTATTACTGCTCATAATCATCATATCAAGGCACTCACTCACACAACTCTCTAACTTCGTTTATATAATTCCATTATTATTTCAATTCATCTCTTGATTTGATTGGTAGTAGTATTTTCCATATCTCGGGTATGAGTGATGACTCATTCCTATTGCATGTGTTGTGTTGGGTGTTGACTCGATGAACAAAGCCTTGAAATCAGTTGAAAAAGAAATAACTTCAGATCCTGAAATCGCTCATAGGAAGAAGCTGCCCATTGAGAAATTTATTTTAGGAATTCAGTTATGCCTCACATCTTAATCTTTAAATTCCAAGGTAAAATATATGTAGACAAACAAAAAGATGTAGGAATTGGATCACCAATATCCCTTACCGTAGCAGACATATTTATGGAGAGCTGGGAAAATATTGCCCCTGATACATTTAATCCTACTCCGAAATATGGTGGAGATATGTGGATGACACTTTCACAGTGTTGAAAACAGGACATGTCTCTCTTTCTCTAGCTTCTTGAGACACATAAACTGACTAGTGGAGGGAATAAAATTCACATTTGAATCGGAAAATGGACGCGGAGAATTAGCTATGTTAGATTGTAAAATAAAACGAATAGAAGAAGGTAAACTGCACACTAGCGTTTATAAGAAACCAAAGCATTCTGCTAATAGATATTTAAACTTTAATTCATCTCATCCGTTAACTGTCTGTGAAGGCAGGCTTAGTTAAGTGTTTAACAAACCGAGCAGTGGCACTAAGTTGCACAAAAAAAGATCTAAATGATGAATTAAAACAGATAGAAGAAGCGTTGGTGTTGAATAACTATCCTATAAAATTCATTAGGAAGATCGAGAAAGGCCAAACGAAAAATAAGAGTAATTGTGAAACTAGTAATAATAACAAAAATAAGAGAGAATGTAAGTCATCTACTGTTATACCATATAAGGAGGGGACATCTGATACCCTCCACATGTAGGATTCCCTAATAAAGCAGGAATTAGAGTGGTGGCATTTAAGCCTACAAACTCACTCAGACCGGACAAGCTCTGTAGGTTAAAGGATTCTGTCGGTGGACCCAGTTAAACAAAATAATATAATTTACAAGATACCTTGCAATGACTGTGAGTGAGGTCAACTACATAGGTCAAACTAGTAGATCAGGGGTAATCAGATTGTCGGAACACAAGGATTTAACTAAGCTTAGAATGGTCGACTCCGCGAAGATAAGTAATTTAGACAAAAGCTCAGTGATCGAACTGCATGCATTACCAACACACAACCACACAATAGGGTGGGTGGGAGAGGGTTAAAATTCTTCAAAGTAATCTAGGTAGGTAGATAGATAGAGAGAGATTGATTACTGAATCCTACCTGGTTGATCAAGTCTACACCCAACACAACACATGCAATAGGAATGAGTCATCACTCATACCCGAGATACGGAAAATACTACTACCAATCAAATCAAGCGATGGAAAATAATGGAACTATATAAACGAAGTTAGAGAGTTGTGTGAGTGATTGCCTTGATATGATGATGAGCAGTAATAAATTGTGCTCGAAACGTTGTCATCAGTAAATATTACTTACTGTATAACAAGACTGTGAGACTTCATGAAAATAAATTTTATCCATAATGGAATAATGATGATAATAATAATGACAACAGACTTACGGGTAAATGTTTCTTTGTTAAATCCTGTGAAGTGAAATTGTTAAAAATTAAATTATACTTTCAATATAATGTTCAAAGTAATAGGTGTTTTTATAAAAGCTACTCCCCCGTGCGCTACCCAGTTTTTATTTCCTACATCTGAAAGGCATCACACTACTGAATTATTTTTAGTAGTTTGTTGGTATATATTAAAGTTTTCAACAATGTTTAGTGTAATGTCATTTCAGTACAATGAAGGTCAGTACATTGTTTGTTCATGTTTCAATCTGTTGAACAATAGAAACCTCAGAATAATGTGGAAGAAGGGATTAAGTATGACGGCATGAAAACGTATCCATCTAGTGAGATCATTGTCCAATGAAGATATAGAACGGTAACTATAGAAAGCGCAGTTATTGTCTGGCTTTACGTAACCAGTTGGTGCGTATGTGGTTGAGTGTCCACCAGCCATGCACATAACCTGGGGTTCAATTTCGAGACAACACACACACACATACACATAGACCTCATCTAGTCGGCAGCGTATTGGGAGAAGTATAAAGGCAGGGTGTGAGACTAACTTGCCCAGTACATAAAAGAAAACAGCCCCAAAGCTACTGATACCTGAAAGACTGAGATCGTATATTTTACCCTCGGAACGTGAAGGAATCAAATAAAGGGGAACCAGATAACAAAACCTAGCTCTAACTATGTGTTGAATACTGATCAAAAATTTAATTATACTCAATGAGCCAATATTGTGAAAAGCCTTCCTAAATTCATTTTTCTCTTTATTAGTGCTTTTCAGTAAAGATAGACTGTTAGCGGTATCTATACTGATGCTCAAACCATTTCAGATGACAGAGTCTTATACGGAATAGTTGAACATCAGGCCGCAAAATAGGCCAGGTAAAATTTTATAAAAGAATTCTAGTCAATTTTAACTTCTTAATAAGCTGAAGCGCAAGGTTTCGGAATTAAACAACTCTATGGGCTTTGATTGGACACTGGTAACTGGTATGATGTGTCTAGTCCTTTCTTTGGTGCAGACTGAATTCTGTCAGTCAAGTTTACAATGTGGTCATCATTCTAGGTAGCTCGCCATCACGGTGCACAACTCGCAGGAAACCTAGGTCATTCAAGGTTTCCTGCAGATTGTTTCCAACCATCTCATAACTGTGTATGCGTATATCGATTTAATTGCTGCTGTGAATTTAGGTGTACTGATCGTTCGACATGAGTTTTGTAAAAAGCGGATGCAAGAATATATTCTGTGAGGTTATGAAGACGTGGAAATAAGGCTGTAAGAAGCATAGTACAGCTACTCGCTTTAGAGTCATCATGAAGAGGAGAAATAATCTGCCTAAATCAATAAACAGCCGGAGAATTTTGTATAGAAAAAGTTAGTTCAACTACTCCTTCTCTCATAGTCATTATTCGTCTATGCAAGATTATTATAATCCCTATTCCTACTATTATTATTATTATTGTTTCCCTAAGTTCCTAGAGGAATATAGAGCTTCAACGTCACGGCTCCCTTGCGTCCGGTTCTTCGCCAACCTTTTCACCTGACTCCATGTCTGCCCACATGCTTTCACCTCCTACATATCATCCTCGCACTGAGAGCTAACTTGCTGCTTCAGTAGGGTGCAACTCAAGTGATGGCCTGTCGTGTGATGTCACTCACTTGATGGTTTGTCTTCTCAGAGTATGGCCAATCCACCTCCATTTCTTCTTGCAGATTTGTTGCACACTTGGCTCTCGCTGTGTTGGTTGGTTTGCTGATTGCCAGAGATCCATGTTGCTGATCTTTTCTGGCCGGCCGTCTGGTCTTGAGTAGCATTGAGTGAAGACAGCTGTTGAAGAAGGTCTTTAGTTTGTTCAAAGTGCTCTTCATGACGCGCCAAAACTGGGATCCATTAAAAACCCCGATACTTACCTTAACCTCAATGAGCTATTCATACATTGTTCAAACAGTACTTAAAAACGTGATCTGGGTGAAATTTGCCCCTAAGTTGGTGAATAACATCGATATTTCAGCTATGATAATGAAAGGTGCCAATGGCTAGCATGCATTCAAGGTCATTGGAGAGTTCACTCTCCTGAGAAGCTATTTTTAAACTTCGCTCATTTAGCATTTAAGAAAAATGTGGAAGCATTAAAACTGAGATAGTGTATTATATTTTAACTTACTCGAAGTTTTACTTTAGAATCTTCGACATAATATCGTTTCTCTTTGGGATAAAGTGCTCGAAGGGAGGCTTTAAGCTGTAAGAAAATGGAAACGAGTAACATTTGAAAAGATGAAAAGGATCGATTAAAAACTAACCATATTTATTTGAATATGACTGCTAATTTTGTAATCATTACGCTTTTCCCACCGACCTGTATTTATTTTATTTATTTATTTTTATTTTTTTGGTAACAGCTTGATTCCACACTGTATTTTTGGTACAAGTATGGAATTTTCAGCGTGGATATCGGTATTGAATTGAATTTTTGATTTTCCCGTCGATTGATTGGACCGAAGTGCTCGGTCTCAGGTTGACATGTCGGCTTCTTGTGCAGATGCTTCGACGATGTCTGTGTATTGTATACTAATTAAATATCCAGACATCGTCGAAGCATCTGCACAAGAAGCCGACATGTCAACCTGAGACCGAGCACTTCGGTCCAATCAATCGACGGGAAAATCAAAAATTCAATTCAATAATTAATATGACCCGTTGCACAAGAGGTGGCTCTCGTGGCCCAAGTGGTCTAGTGGATAACGCTTTGGCGTTTGAAACTATGGGTACTGGGTTCGAGCCTCGGTGGGGACATCATCACTCACTGACTGAGGAACGCAGGTACATCCAGCTGACGAGTCCCAATTAGGACGAAATGCGCATCCTGGATTCCACTGCTAGCCACCATCCACCAAGTGGATATCGGTAGCCCAAATTTCGCAGGCCGACCATAGATATCTGGTGTGCGCCGGTGTGGGCTCGAACCCCGGACCATATGCATGGTCGTCGAGTGTCCTAACCATTGTGCCACCGACGCACAGTGTTCTGACTGTTCTGGCTTTTGTATATTTCTTTTTGTGGTTGTTGTTGTTGTTGTTGATGTTCATTTGGGTTCTCAGTGGGACATAAGGCTTCAACAGCAAATCTCCACGTTGTCCACCTCTTTGTGGTCCTCTTCAATTGGCTTACGATTACCCAGAGTCTCTCATCTCTTCCTAATTGCACAATCTCCTACATATTACCTTCGGAAACATGCACAACTTGTCGTTTCTCATTCAGCTTTCACTTAACCAATGGCCTACATTCACTACGATATTATTCAAAGATCTCCTCAGTGTCTGTCGAATGCCATCTCCGTTTACTTCTACACATCTGTTGTAAGATGGGTAATTGATTAGTTTGTTCTTCGACAAAACAATAAGAAGACGTAGTTTATCTGAAACGTATAATGTATTGGCGCAACACATTTCGGACATTCTGATCACACACGTACTTGTCATACACAGTTTTTATATAAGGCAAGAAAGCATGAATAATTACAATACAGGTCAGATTGTGTACAGGTCAAGGTCACAAAATAATGGGTAGGGAGACGCAAAAGGTGTGGGTAAGAAAGATAAAGGGAGGAAAAAAAAGGCAAAGAAAGGGTTTGAAAATATTATGAAGTAAAATTGGTCCTTGGTTCTAAGTTGGATTACCAAGGCAGGTTTAAGGTGATAACAAATAACTTTTGGACGCATAAGACAGGTTTAAGTCTTTTAATGGCTAAGGCTTCAATGAATTTAAGTATGTGACCCAACCTTGTCTTATATATCGGCTTAAAGGCATTATTAAAATCAACCTTATGACCCGTCTCTATAATATGCTTCGCTATAGATGATGTTGGACATCTATTTCCCGGGTCAATTGTATCTGGCGATTTCATTTGTTGTTGCAGCCACTTTGGAATGTGTTCTGTAGCCCTAACATGCAGAGACCGATGGGTCCTCCCTATGTACGTGTCTCCACACATACATGTGAATTGATAAACACAGTGGGATGTGACACTATCGTTCGGATAATGTGAGGGTTTACAGGACAGCATAGTTTTCGTTTTCTCTATGAAGATAAGTTTAGCTGCATAATAGGTTCTACTAATTGCGGCCTTTAGTCTTTGTCTAGTGACTAGACTTTGTTGATCACCTCTGAACGGCAAGGATATGTAAACATCCTTTTTGGGAACTGATTGGATTGGTAAAGCTGTGTGGTTGACACTTCCATAACGTCTAATAAATCTCAGTGGGTAATTGTTATCTAACAATATTTCAGTGAGATGTTGTCTTTCTTCTTCAATTGTATCGGCGGTACATATACGGTGAACGCGCTTGAACAAACACTTAACCAACGCCTTTTTATACTGTAGTGGACAGAAACTATAGTAATTTAGATACTGTCCAGTCCATGTTGACTTCCTGTAGACAGATCGTTTTATTGACCCATCTTCTCTGCGGGTTATGAGTACATCTAAAAATGGCAGGCATCCATTATTCTCTTTAACATAAGTTAGCGATATACTATTTTGTGCTCTGTTGACCTGGTTTAGGATTTCTATGGCGTCGATCGGTTGATCACAAATGACAATTATGTCATCTACATATCTTTTATAGAAATACACTTTTCCAATTTCTTTCTCCACTAGGTTCTCAACATGCGACATATATATGTCAGCTAACAATGGACCTAGGGGGCTTCCCATAGCAACACCATCGATCTGGCGATAATGCTCGCCCTCGAATGTAAACTTAACATTTTTAGTACAGAGAAGCAGTAACTCTTTTAAGTAAGATGTAGATACTGGTAATAAGAAATCGTTGTCAGAAATGAAGTCACATAAAATGTCAACCGTCTGTAAAAGAGGTACATTTGTAAATAAAGATTCGACATCTAGGGAGAACATGGTTTTGTCTTTTATATTAACGTTATCAAGACAATCAATTAACTCAAAAGTGTCTTTCAAAGAGAACTTACAGAAACTTCTTCTAACAGGCTCTAGTATTTCCACTAGCCACTGTGCAAGTTTGTGGGTTGGAGATCTGCACATTGACATTATGGGACGTAGAGGAATGTTAGGTTTGTGTGTTTTGGGTAGACCATACATGTGTGGTAATTGAGACTGTGTGGGCTTTAATGAATTGAATTTCTCTCTGTTAATTGCATTCATGTTTAAAAGTTTTACTAGATTATATGTCACCATATTTTGTACATTCTTAACATCCTCAGGACCGGAGTCTCTCATAAATTTTTCGTTGTTTCCAAGAATGTTCTTGTAATTTCTTGTTACTAATTCTTTCTAGCCAGCCGACCATTCCATCTTTTCATTATGAAGGGAGATAAGTGGTCAGTTGTTGGTAAAAGTCTGCCGTGGACTGTTAGATATGGTTTACTCAACGCGTAGTGCTAGCTAGTTTCCTACCCATATAGAAGACTGACTGATTAAACATTTGTGCTGCAAAATCCGAAATTCGCGTATTATGCTGTGTGTAGACGATTTTCGATTCAGTTGCAGATTTAATAAAAGTGTATCTTGCCTTTCCTATCCTGGCTAACTTTATCTGTTGCATCTGTCTGTAGTTGAAACGATGCCTTATGGTCAGATAAGTAAAGAAAGTGACCTCTTTAGAATTTCTGTTGAAACTGATTAGTGCTCATTAATGTATGTGTAAGACTTGGGCACTGTGGTGGTTGTAAGTAATTCCATATTAGTTTGTTTATTAGATGTATCACACAGTCAGTGAGACAGTATTATTATTTACTTGATGACAAGGTTTCGAACAAAATTTATTTATTGTTCATCATCATATAATCAATTCTAATCAGACGACTTCGAAACCTCAGTTTTATAGCTTTCATTGTCTTCTCCTATTTGTCGTCGTCTGCGTAGTGGAAATTTCCAGATGTCCAACTGTACAAGTGTTGAATGATTCCTATTACACGTATTTTCCCTGAATTTATTCCATAAACAAAGCTTCTGTTTTCAATCTCTCCCTCCACCCTGTGACATTAGATTTTAAAACTGTCATCCTGTTCCATCCATCCTTTTGTATGGTTGTGTGTAATCGCACGTAGTGCTATCTATAACTGAACTATTCCCTAGATTTCTTATCTTATTCGGGTCAACCAATCTACATTTTGCTAGGTTTTTATATTCAGCTAGTCTGACAGCCCCTGTTCCACTACTTTGACCTATGTTTTTGACCTGACAATCATTGCAGACAGGGTATTAGATAAACTAAATGGCTTTATTTAACCGACAAAGTTTGTTTCTAACTGAGTGTGTGGTTGGTTTGAATGCTAACCACTTTTATTACTGCCTGCTTTGTTAAGAATTCTGCGTAAAGTTTCCGAGGTTCCTTCTCTGTATGGAATTACTATTGATGACTTAGATTCCTTATTGTTGATGTTGTCATTATCTTGCGCGTGTTTGACATGTATATCATCATTAATATTATTATTATTATCATCACTATCACTACTATCATTATTTATTTTATTTTTACATTTTTCTACATACTTCATGATTAATTTATGAGGGTAATTGTTAAGTTTCAAAGCTTCTTTTATGTGTATCACTTCCTGTCTTAGATTTTCCTTGGTACTACTTAGTTTTTGTGCTCTGTAACTTAAACATTTCACCAATCCTATTTTTTACTGACATTGGATGGGATGGTGGGAAGTTCAAATATCTGTTTGAATGTGTGGCTTCTCTGCAAACACACTTTAATGTTTAACTTCCCATCTTCTTTCATTTTTACCTTGGAATCTAACATTGGAAACTCCCCTTCCTGATTTGCCAATTCATAAGTGAATTGAATTGACTTCACCTTTGAGTTAATGTGTTCGAAAAATCTATCTATATTCTGTGTTCTAAGCACGTGAGAATGTGTCATTTACATACCTCCACCACACTTTATGTTTCGGGTTGAGCGTTTCAATCACTAATTTCTCTCTCACACACACCTGGTTTTCGTTGTTGAATTTTTCAGGGATACGTTTCACTATCAATCTAGTTATCATTTTCCGTGCTACCTTGTTAAGAAGTGATTTTATTGCATTTTTAACGATTATCCTTTTACAATAACACCTCGAAATACTCTGAAATTATCTGTGAATAAATCCCAAGGCTAACAGATTAATTTAAAAAAAATATCAGAACAGGACTCCTTATCGGGAAAAGTATTTCCCCTAAACTGATATCACTTTTTTGACAGAATCGAACTTAAAATCTGAACATAACAGGTCCAAATGAAACTTTATAAAAAGGTGAAAGCAATAAGGAATAAACACCAATCTTATTTATATATTAAAGAAACTCACTGGGTTATATATAATAATAGTCTCCAAAAGGATGGAACCTTTAGCCAACGTTGTCAGCGATTTGTCTTTCAATGCATACCATTTTTGTCGACGATTTACAAGCTGTTATAACAGTTGATATAAAAGATAGAAAATTAAAAATAATAGTAATAATAATTTCGAGACTTGATATTAAAAAGCTGGAGGAGATTGATAAGGTACTCTAGATTCAATTATATAATTAATATGATCCATTGCACAAGAGGTGGCTGGCTCTCATGGCCCAAGTGGTCTAGTGGATAACGCTTTGGGTGGTGTTTGAAACTATGGGCACTGGGTTCGAGATATAGTGGTGGGAACATGATCACTCAATGGGAGGGAAATGCAGGTACATCTACCGGCTGACGAGTCTCAAATGGGACGAAATGCGCATCCTGGATTCCTAGATTCAGTTTCCATGTTTGTTGACACTAGTCCTTAAGGTGTGTATCTGCAGCCTTGAGGAAGGAGAAAACCCTTGCAGATTTGAACAGGTATCTTCCAAGGCTGTATTCAGAGATATTACCACTAATCCATTCAGGGTCGCGAATAGTCTCTTGTGCTGACTGTTTATCGGAATCATCTGTGTGTGTGTGGACTGAATTATATATCGATTAAGTTTGCAATCTAGTGATGAGACTAAGTGAGTCGTTATTTGAGTGCACTTTTAATTGATGTTAGGTGGTTGAAGGCAATCTGCAGGAATCTCTATATTTCGTTTCTGTGCTTGTGGATTCGAACGTTGTAGAGAGGGCATTAATGCCTTCAAGGTCACACATAGACCTTACTGACAAGTCTCTTTAGAGCGCTTGACTATCACTGGATGCATAAAGAAGATGTGATATGCATCAGGGACTTGGCGCGTCACGGATAGCATTTCAAACAGGCGTCAGACTATTAGTCGATAGCTATATTCGCCATCTTGACAATGAAGGTCAGATGGGTGGCTAGAAAGGATAAGCGACAAGGAACTCTGGCTGAGAACTAACTAAGAGCTTTTTACCCGACAAACATGTAGAAGATAATGTAGACTGATTGGGTGAATTCTGAAAAGACCGTTGAGCGACATCATATGACAGTCTCTAGAGTGTAAGCCGAATTGGGAACGATGAGCTCGGAGTCCTGTGGTGAGATGAAAATCGTGTGAGGTCGAAATGAAAGTCCATAGGCATTCATGGATAAAGTCTCAAAGTGTTATATAGTAATGTTTACTGATGACAACGTTTCGAGCACAATTTATTACTGCTTATAATCATCATATCAAGGCACTCATGCACACAACTCTCTAACTTCGTTTATATAATTCCATTATTATTTCAATTCATCTCTTGATTTGATTGGTAGTAGTATTTTCCATATCTCGGGTATGAGTGATGACTCATTCCTATTGCATGTGTTGTGTTGGGTGTAGACTTGATCAACCAGGTAGGATTCAGTAATCAATCTCTCTCTATCTATCTACCTACCTAGATTACTTTGAAGAATTTTAACCCTCTCCCACCCACCCTATTGTATGGTTGTGTGTTGTTAATGCATGCAGTTCGATCACTGAGCTTTTGTCTAAATTACTTATCTTCGCGGAGTCAACCATTCTGAGCTTAGTTAAATCTGACTACCCCTGACCTACTAGTTTGACCTATGTAGTTGACCTCACTCACAGTCATTGCAAGGTATTTTGTAAATTATATTATTTTGTTTAACTGGGTCCACCGACAGAATCCTTTAACCTACAGAGCTTGTCCTGTCTGAGTGAGTTTGTAGGCTTAAATGCCACCACTCTAATTCCTGCTTTATTAAGAATCCTACATATGGAGGATATCAGATGTCCCCTGCTTATATGGTATAACAGTAGATGACTTATATTCTCTCTTATTTATGTTTTCATTGTTAGTTTCACCATTATTTTTATTTTCTCTTGTGACGTTTTTGATAATCCCAATGAATTTTATAGAATAGTTATTCAACATCAATCAGCTATTCTTCTATCCGTTTCATTTCATCATTTAGGCTTTTTGTTTTACCAATTAGTGCTACTACTCGGTTTGTTAGACATTTAACCAAGCCTGACTTCACAGATAGATAATGGATGAAATGAATTTAAGTCTAAATTTCCTATTAGAAGCAGTGTTTACAGAAAACCATCTCAGATATGCTCAAAACCTTCTCTCTAAATCAGTCGTTAAGACGTTCTTTGTAGTGCAATTACAAATGATATTCATCAGTCGCAAGTTGTTCTTCATATCTGTAAAAGATAAGCTCCCCCGTCTGGTCGCCTCCATGTGCATCTATCAGTTAACCCAGTCCTATTGTGGAGCAAGGTATATTGGCCGTAGCCAGAGGACGCTTTCCACAAGGATACGGGAACATATTACAGAATAGTTTTACAGGGGAGCAAGGAAGTCTGTGCGAAGCTTTATTCTAGAACACCTGATCGACTTCTATCACTTCACCAACCCTGACGATGATTTTAAGATTGCCTATCGAATCCATGCTAAACTGCTATCCGTGTTTTCTACGTTACAGACTTCTTAATACAGAAGAGGCCTTGGCAATTCATGACTTTAAGCTAACCAGACCTTTGTGTACCAAAGAAAAAAAATGTACAATTCCTACTTCTGCTTTGACTATAGAGGGATAGACATTTATTTATTTTGTTTATTTAGTTATTCTATGTACCCTTCCATTATTACTAAAATTATTATCATTATTATTATTACTATTACTCTGAATTGTTTCCACTTGTCCCACTTGTCATTCTAAACCCAGAATTGTTCATTTTTATTTTTTATTTTTACAATGTTGAATTCTATCTTATCAAATTTCACACCATGTTAAGTAACATTTTATATTCGTCTACTAATCTTATAATTATATACCTCTCTCCAAAATCTATACACCTTATGTATTATTCTATATATAACATTAATTTGCTTCGCCACTTGACAATAAACTATGATTATGATCACAAATATTTTAATTGCATTTCATACTACTACTATTATTATTATTTCATGTGATTCACACCTTTGACCTGATTCCCTCACCGGATATAATTTCTTAGATCCCATATCTATACGGTTGTACAGCTTGATAATAAATTCGTTGTTGAAAAGAGCCTCTTCGCAAAATATTGTGATCCTATTTTACGAAAACAAACTTATCTAATATATTTACGAGATTGCCTTGTCATCAGAAGGTTCTGAGTTCGAACCCCGCTAACGGTGAGTGCATACTGATGAAGTGCCATTTCAAAACTAGGCTGAGGAAACAGCTGTCCAGTACTCCCTGGTGGCTTTCCAATGATTCTCTAAGCGATGTCAGCTCATGATGAAATCCTTTGACAAATCAGTCTAACAAAATCCCTAAAAAATCACGTAGCCATGTAAGGGCTTATGGGGAATTGTCATCTGAATTAGTAACAACCAGTGGTGTCCGACAGGGATGTCCACTTTCCCCATTTCTTTTTAACTTCATCATAGATATGCTCATGGAAGTATCCTTAACTGAACGTAACGACTTAGGAATAGTCTTATGGACTTAGAATACGCAGATGACATAGTCCTGTTAGGGGAGGATTCTGACAAAATGCAGAGTCTTCTGAACACCTTGAGCAGCAATCTTCGTATGTTTGGCATGCGATTGGCCCCTGTAAAATATAAGATGCTGCTACAGGACTGGACCACGTCAACTCCCACCTAGCTTAGTGATAGGGAGTGAAGTGATAGAACATGTTGACCACTTCACCTATTTAGGAAGTTGTATTAGCACCAACGGACTGATTGGCGACGAAATCTCAGCATGGGTCCAAAAAGCTCGAGCTGCTTTCGCTGACTTACACCATCTCTGGCGTAGGCGTGACATCCGGTTATCAACCAAGGGACGTATGTATTGCTCAGCAGTTCGCTCCGTCCTTCTCTATGGCTCTGAAACATGGCCAAATACGAGTTGAAGACATGAAAAGGTTGACTGCTTTCGATCACAGATGTCTTCGATCTCTTTCTCACGTTAGGTGGTATAATAAGGTAAGTAAGGTTTACGTTAGGCGTAGAGTGTTGGGCAAAGAGGGAAAATCAATCGACGAGACTATAAACTTACATAGATTGAGATGGCTAGGTGACGCGCTGCGCATGCCTAACCATCGCCTCCCCCAACGGACATTACTAGCTGATTGATAAAGGTGCAGGTTGGAAAAGAGTAAATGGTGGCCAAACAAAAACATGTCCTCATCAATCCATGAAATCCTTGATAGCTAAAGTGAGTCAGGTAGGGAGATGCAGACTTCCGGGTTGGGGCCCTCGGGACTCTAGGAATCAATGGCTGGAGACAATAGGTGACATGGCTCAAAATCGTTGTCAATGGCCAGCGCAGATGTATTCAGTCTCTGTAATCTTTCATATTCCTTTCTACCATTACCCATTCTGTTTCACTCTTATAATTGTCAAACTCTATTAATTCTCTTCACTCATCTTCTTGTCTACTTTTGTGTGTCATTTAGAACGTGGCAACTCGAAGTGCTGCACTTGGGTGCCAAGTTCTATGTTGAATCCAGAGAGAGAGACAGACAGACAAAATCAGTACTTGATAGTATGGAATGCTCTGTACGTATATGTGTGTACATAGACAACTCACTTGTATAAGAGGGAATGAAACACGACCGGTTATTTCTGATGTCTCTTTGCCTTCTTCATATATGTATACCTCAAGGATAGAATACATATCTGAAATGGGACTTGAACCAAAAGAGAGAAGAAAAAATTGGAATCAAAATTAAATAATATCAAGGTGCATAGAAAATTTGAATAACCGCTATTACCAAACAGCGTTAAGAAGAAGGCTGGAATACTCAATATCGACTGATTCCTAGACATCCTAAGGTGGTCTTGATGTGATAAATTAGGTTAGTTGTAAATCGATTGTGTTTAAGACGAAAGAAAGCCTTTTATCAATGCACCATTTCACTCTCTGTAGACGTTTTTTTTAATCAAGAATATCATAAATAGAATAAGTGTTTTTAGTTCGACCAATTCTCATGTTGTGAATTGAAAAGAGAAGATTTCGTTTAATGGATTAGTGAGAATTTGTTGATGACTAACAGACGAGGAAATCTGTCGGTGATTAACGATATATAACCATGGAAAAAATTACTCACCTATTTGACCTGTCATTTCATTGAATAAGGCAAGAAGTCAATAGCCCAAGACTTCAGTTCACTAACTGTAACTCGCATTGATTGATTTAAGATTACCTACAACGTTCATCAACCTGAAACAACCAATCTGGAAATCTTCGTCACTCAGCTAGCATCAACAACAAAATTCGGTTGGATTTTCAATACAAACAACGTCAAGTCAGTCAGTTCTTCTATACGGAACGGATCAGAAACTTGTCGGGCGGGCAGGCGGGTCACAAAGAATATTTCCAGCAGGCTGTTGCAGATCTTTATCAACAACAACTGTCTTCTTCGCTCTATACTGACGATCAAATGGCCGGGCCGGAAAGAATCACCAACAAGAAACTATGACTGGGAACAAATAAACAAAACAAGAAACAATCGCCAACCAAGAAATATGCAGGAGAAAGTGGATTGAGATGGATTGGACACTCGCTCGCTGAGGAGGCAGTCCGCTGGGTGACATCGCGCGCACGTCAGGCTATTTCTTGAGTGGAACCATCCCGAAATAGAAGCAAGCGGTGAGTGGAAAGTGTCCAGGAGTGGGCGACATGGAGGAGTTGAGACAGTATGAACTAACTAACATGAATTCAGGTGAAAAGTACAGCAGAAGGAAGATAGAAGTGGCAAGTGGAGACGTGCAGTTGAAGCCCTATGTTCCACTAGGAACCAAAGGGAATAATAATAATAGTATAACTGCTTGACTCTCTTGTCCTCTCCTAAGCTTTCATGTTATCTGTAACTGGTTATTGCTACCAAATATTTCACTCACTGTTGTATGCCCTATTCTATGATTTTCATGTCAAACGTCTGCTGTGTAGAATAAAAAAATTGCAATGGACTAAAATGTATAACAGACTGTAGGTGATTTATATATATTTTCACACAAACTCGAATACGTATAGATGAAGGTCGATAAAGTGGCGGATGTGGCAGCTAAGACAGTAAGTACCTCAAGTGAGTGCAGAGAAGATCGCACTGATGCAGGAGACCAACCAACAACCAGCACCAATTACTATCAAAAGGCGAATTTTGAAAAGGTGATGTCGCGTTCACTTATTTGAGGGGTGAGGGGGGGGTAGGAGGGAATTATTTCAGCTACAGTCAACACAGACTAAGAAGCCAAAGATGCAGCATAAGCATTCATTATTCTGAAATCAGCCTGGATATCTGCTGCATTAAGCATAAACATTAAGACTGGGATCTCTAACAATTTTTTTTAAAGACATTGCTACTATGTGGTCCATAGACTTGGCACGTTATGAAAAGCAGTTGTGGAATTTCATCAATAGCTGGCTTCACCCAATACTGAAGATCAGATGGCTGGTCGACCAGCATGGATAAGCAACAAGGAACCTGCTGTCCAACAAATATGCTGAAACAAAAAGAGATGGTTCAAACACTCGCTGAGAAAACCGTCGCATGTCGTCACGCTCCAGGTCATTCGATGGAACCTGAATAGGCTGATGGGTAGTCAGATAATGAGCACTTCAGAGGGTAGAATGAAATGGAGGTGTTCCATTGAAGCTATGTATCTCATTTAGAATATAAGACGATAAGGAAGCGTCAGAATAAATCAAATGTGCTTATTTTTTTACTGCAGATTTTGTTCTCTACGGCTTTGATTACGGTAACCATGGGAACATGTTGTGTAAGTTGATTTTATGTTATGGAGATATGTAAGCGTATAATGTATTACATCGAATAAAGTCACCGTTAGTTATGTTTTATTTTATTTTTATTTTTGATTACAGCTTGATTCCACACTGTATTTTTGGTACAATTGTGGAATTTTCAGCGTGGATATCGGTAGCCCAAAATTCGCAGGCCGACCATAGATATCGGGGGGGCGTCAGCGTGGGCTTGAACCCCGGACCATGTGCATGGTCGGCGAGAGTCCTAACCACTGTGCCACCGACGCTGGTTGGTTTAATTGCAAAGCTTTCATCCTTCTTCTGGACAATATCTTCAGCGCAAGTTTTAGATGTTTAGCTAAGCTTGTTCCCGTCTATCGAACAACTTGCTCTTTGATGGAATCAAAAATCGATAGATATCCTTCTCATGCTAACTCCAACTGTATATACAAATTTACATGTATCTGTGGCAGCAGTTACATTGAAAGAACAGAAACGGCATATCTGAGATCTTTTGAATATGTGCCAAAAAGCCTATATCTAATGGGAACAAATGCTTTAAACAGTGCCATCGCCAGGCCTCTCCTTGACACGGGTCGGTCATGAGGTGGACGTCGCAAGATCGTTCAAAATTATCAGTAGACAAAATAGTTCAATTCTCCTCAAGTTCATCGAAGCAGCATTCTCCATCAAGCGCCTGTAACCTGATTTATGCTTTCAGAAAGAAGCAGTTATCAGTCTTTCCTTGCTCGTCCTGGTAACGGCTATTTTAACCTAACTTTCATCTGTTTACGTAATGTCGAAAGTTACTATTGTGTATGATCATTATTGTTCCGGATAAAGTGTTTATTATTACATATATTATTATTGCATGCATATATTGATTGATTTTTAAAAAGACACTTGCAGTGAAGGAAATTTTATTCTCGACGAACTCATCAACTAGGCTGTATATTCGTGTATTTATGATAAATGGGTGGGAAAGTTCCAGAATAATTTCCAGTTAAGGGTCAAATTAATAAAATCACAATTAGCAATTAAAATGCCATAATCAACAGGGGGACATCGGCCGTACCGTGCGCCAACTGGAAAAACGCGCTCGTGAACACTATCCAGCCTGGCTAGCGAAAGGAGAACGAAAACGTGTACACAGTTCAGTGACAGAACATCTAGTCACTTCAGGACATTCAGCGCCATTCGAAAAATCCTTCGAACTAATATACAAGATTTGATCAAAGCTATCAAAGGGAGTAAAATTAAGACATCTTGGCATAGCCGAGGCGCTGGCTATCAAAAAGCTCAACCCCACGCTATGTATCCAAAATACGTCCAATCCTTGTCCCTGCCCATGGCCATCATAAACAGGTAAATCTTTTAGTAGTGACCATCCCATTGTCTTTCATATTCAAGCTTCCTGTTTATTCATGCTATTTTTTAGTTTTCTTAATCCTTATTTATACTACCATATTTTCATATCCAAACTTCCTGTCTATTTTGTCATTTTATTATTTCTACATATTTAATCACCGACTGCATAAACAATTATTCGTTACATTGGTTATGAACTCACTAGATTTCTTATCCAAACATCCTGTCTATTTTGTTATTTCTGCATTTCTAACCCCCAATTGTAGAATCGATGTCAATCTTCTCAGTAATTACGATGCTACTTTGTTTGAATTCCATCCGTCCCGCCTGTTTATTGTGGCATTTTAATTCCTAATTGTAATTTTATAAATTTGACCCTTGACCGGAAATTATTGTGGAATTTTCCCACCCATTTATCATAAATACACGAATATACAGACTAATTGGTGACTTCGTCGAAAAGAAAATTTTCTTGACTGCAACCATCTTTGTATTAATTCCTATGATCTAACGTGTATATTCCGTAAATGATTTTTGTATTTTAAAAATGAACTCTGTGCAAGTATGTTAAAATTGTTTCTGTAGATATACTTAATAATGTCTTTGGGCTGTAAGCAGCTGACGAGAAGCCAACGAAATAAGTGATGGTACCATTTTATTCTGTAAAAATTTTTGTTCTTGCTTTATTCAAATTCATTGAGAAGAGTAAATCTATGATAATTGCGTCTCCTGGTAACCATCTTCATGACTAGTAGTCGATTTACCTCTCTATTCATCATTTTTATTGACTTGGAATCTGAAGTTTCTCGTCACGTGATTTACTTTTTATGAACTGGTAAATTTAGTCTATATTAACATGTTTGTTAAACGCATATTCGCTTGAGTACTAGTCTTCTAGGATTTTTCTGAAGTTGTTTTTGGTGTTTCCTCTGTTTAAAAATGTCAACATTATTGCAATCAAATGTTTTTCTTCGTTCATGTTCCCCAGTGGAACATAGGGCTTCAAGATAGAGGCTTGAAGTTTCTGTAGCAGTGTTTATGTTTACAGGATGGGGTTGCTAGCCAGCCTCATGCCCAACCTTTCCTCTTTACCAGCATTATTTTTGGCTTAGCGAGGTAAAGGAGCGTGTTGGCCGGGGATCGAACCTCTGACCACGTGCATGATTGGCGAGCGTCCTAAGCGGTATACCACCGACGCACATTCTAATCACATTGGTGTCCATAATTATCTGCATTCACTGATTTTAAAGGAGGACGAAGAAAGCTCCGCAGTTAAACCAACCAGCTCAGAGAACAAAACTAATTGTAAAGTCACCCTTATCTTTGATCGGGAACTAGTCAGCAATTAGTATAATGTATGCGCGTGTGTCTAGTTGTATCTTTGGTGCAGACTGAATTCGATCAGTCAAGTTTACAATGTGTCCACCATGCCACTAGGTGGCTCACCATCACGGTGCACTGCGAATTGTTCGTATTAGTTGGTTGAAGGCAGTCGGGAGGGACATGATTTCCTTCAGAGTTACAGATACGCCTTACTGATGAGTGCCAACTATCATGAAACCTACGTAAATAAGGGCCCCCTGCTGATTGCCGCCAACCATCTATTACTAAATTCATCCTAATTGTGAAAAAAAAATGAAAAGTTCAACTTACAATACAAATGCTTGATTCCATATAGGATAAGCATTCTTTGGCGCTGTAAATGTTCGTACAACACGATTAACCAGACGTATTTCACAAAATGCATTTGATTTACCACTACGATCTTTTGCTGGTAGATTAGTTGCTCTATGTACTGAGAAGAAAAAAAGACACAAAATCAAAGTTAGGATTTATAAGGAAGTCCAAAAAAAAATGTGTTCAAAGCTTGTTTGTAGAGTAATTTTAAGCAAGTTCTGGTGCTTCGTCACATTTCAAGATTGTAAAACGTGTCCAGTACACTCCCTGCTTCTTTAGGAGTTCTCTAAACGATGCCAGCTCATGATCTGACCCGGGAAATGACTGGTTTATTTGTTTATTTTTGATTACAGCTTGATTCTACACCGTATTTTTTGATACAAGTATGGAATTTTCAGCATGTGATATCGGTAGCCCAAATTTTGCAGGTCGACCATAGATATCAGGTTTGAGTCAGTAGGGGATCGAACCCCGGACTATTTGCATGATCGGCAAGAGTCCTAACCAGTGTGCCACTGACGCACAGTTACAGGATGGAGTAGCTGGTTGTTAGTTCTAGCGGTAAATCGTGACAAATGGAGGCCTGAAAGTCAGGGGTAAGGACAAATAATTGTGGATAACACTGCCAAACGGTAGCTATAGAACTCCATCCTAGTGAATGAATCGTCAGTGGGGAGGGTCATTCGGTAACTACTTGCAAGATCATGTGTTTGATTCCCAGTGGATTGTCAGTTTCATCTATTGAAGTGTCTCAAATCAAGATGAATCATGTAGGTGTCTAGTAACCTCAGGTTTTCAATGATTCTCCAAATCATTCCCAAAAAGCCAACGCCTAGAGACTTTGAATGTGTCCAGTTAAATTTTGATTCTTAAAGATACTCAGTGAAATAGTGAACACCAAGATTATTATCACCTGGTGTCCAAAGTATTCGATAAAATCTTACAGGAAGTCAATCAGTAGCCCAAATAGCTAGCTCAGTGGTACCATCTCTGACTTCAGCGCTCACTGAGTGACGCCCAGTTCGAATCTCAGGAGGAATATGAGATTGTTCACGCTTGTTGAGACACGCCATGCTGACTGGTGACTGCTAATCAGCATAAAACCTCGGCTAAAGGTTTTCTACAGGTTGCCTCCAACCAACTAATTGCAATATTAGTCCTGAACTCTGCATACAGAAGACGTTCGTTCAATCATTACACTTGCAATGGACATAATCTATCTTAATTCCCGACCGATAGAAATTCTATTTCTTTCTTTCTGTCTCTTCATCAGTATTATTTTGTCTTCTCAATTGTAATATTTTACATTTTCAACTTTCCTGTTCTCTACCCCACCCGATTTAATTTCTACACCTGATTACCACTGTTACTAACATGACCAACGCTCAATTTCTAGTCATTTATGTTACGTCATCCGATGTATTTTCCCAATTTTAGTCCTAATTTAAATGGCATTATTCTATACCCCACCTCTACTTAGAGTCCTAACTAGCACTCAACCAGTCAGCAATGCGTATCTGCAACCTTGAAGGAACTCATGTCCCTCCTGAAATTTGAAACCGCGTCCCCCAGTGCAGTGCTTCAGTCAGAAACGTTACCACTGTGCTAGCTATTCGGGCTGGCTTGCAATTGACCTCCTGTAGGACTGTAGTGGGTATTTTAATTGGACACTAGTAACTGGTGTGACGTGTCTAATCCTTTCTTTGGTGCAGACTGAATTCTTTCGACAGTCAGGTTTGCAAAGTGGCCAGGATTCTAGGGTAGCTCGCCATCACGGTGCACATTGATTTGATGATATAAAAAACTTTAGTTTACCTTCATCGTACGCATAACGAACAATTAACCATGAAAACCGATTAAATGTAACACTCACTCACACATATATACTCACACACACACACACACAGACATATCACTTACCAACAACACGTAACCAACCGATATCGTTACTATTTTTCAATGTATTTCTAACTTTCTATAAATAGAAACAAAAATGGTTTTAATCTTCTTTAAAAAATTTACTGTTAACATTATATAGGTAAATATCCACACATCCTCTTTAAAAAAGACAAGATAAACATTGAAACTTAAACAAGGGTATTTAGAAGGCAAATTTCGTGAGATGATAACATCATTTCGTAGTTTCTCTACTATCGCGTTACACCTTCTAACATGATTCACAATAATAAAATAAAATAAAATACATGACAATTATTATTATTTCCCTTAATTCCTAGAGGAACATAGGACTTCAGACGCACGTCTCCATTGTGCTGGGTTCTCTGCTACAGTTTTCACCTGGCTCCAAGTCTGCCCACATGCTTTCATCCCCTCTTCACATGACCTCCTCCAAGTCACCCTCACACTGACGACCAACTCACCGCTTTCCTTTTGGGTTCCACTTGGGCGATGGCTTGTCTTGTGATGTCACTTGATGGTTTCCTCAGAGTATGGCCAATCCACCTCCATTTCTTCCTGCCTATTTGTTTCATAATCGGTTCCTGCTGAGTTGTTTTGCTCATTGCCAGAGTTCCCTTCCTGTTGCTGATCTTTTCCGGGAGGCCATCTGATCTTGAGTAGTTTTGAGCGAAGACAGCTGTTAATGAATGAAGGTGTGTAGTTTGTTTGAGGTGCTCTTTATGACGCGCCAAGTCTCTGATTCGTATTATGAGTAGCACTGACTTCACATTAGAGTTGAAAATCCGGATCTTATTTTTGATGTTGAGTAGTGCTGTTGACCTCCACACAGATTTGAGAGTAATGAAAGCTTGTCTTGCTTTCCCGATCATCCCCGCTTTCATATCCTCGTCAGTTCCGCTGGCCTGTAGTTGAAACAATGCTTCCCAGGTAGGTAGGCAGGTAAAGGAAGTTGTTTCTTTCAGGTCCCTCCTATTTATGCTGATATTTGTCTGTTGTGACAATTACTCAGTTATATAGAAAACAAAAGTACATAAATACTTATATCATTCATGTTGGAAAAGCGTTAGACAGTCAATTTTTTGTTTTGAATGAGATCGTAAACTCCTAAGCTCTATTCTGTGGAAGATCATATGCATTCGCTGCTGGAGAACTGATGTCTTCAATGTCCTTTAATTTCTAATTACTTCTCTAGTTGATAGGATCAGTATGCATATAGAACTTTTTCAAAAAAACCATAATATTGAACAGATAACTCCCTTATTAACAACTTGATCCAAAGATCAATATTATGGAGGACTAACATGAATAATAATAATAATAATGATTTACTTTATTCCAAAAACAGTACTTGTGATACAGATTGGAATTTTCAGCATTAATCACAATATTGCATCTAATTTCCTCAAATTATAAATAAAATTAATCACACAGAAAATTTTCCACATTTACAATAGAGGTAGTGTCATAAACATGCAGCATATAAAATGGAAATAGCAATAATAATGATAACAGCTAGGGTAGTAATAATAATAATAATAATACAAGTGAAAATTGCCGTTGGCTTGTGTCACACAGTATTGGCAATGTGGTATAGAAATCCTAACATGTTTAAAAATATTGAATATAATGTTCTCTTTACATGATATGATGAAGGAAAAAAAAATAGATTACAGCCGCCATGGAGATAAGTTGGTGTTTGCAATTATGAGAGTAAAACAGAAAAGTAACAGGACCATAAATATAATAGAAGTAATAAAATTAAAACTTGAAGGTATATAAGGGTGGATGGAGGAAATTGTTTATTTACTAGATGAAAGAAGGTTAGTTAATTCTTGCCTGACACTATTTTCATCACATAAAATACGTGCCAAGTATGGTATCATAGAATTCTTATACTTACACGTGCGAGAATACAGTTTTCTGAAGTTACTCCTTGTTCTACCTGACGAGATGCAAGGTGAAAGCTGAGGGTAAAGCGGATGCTCCAAGTCAGACAAAATCCCTTTAGCAAATTTATTGCACGAAGTCAAGTGCCTATCGACAACGACGTTAACTATGTGGTCCACTGGGACACCACTCACTCTACTGACAGTCTTCAGTATTCTACGAATTGTGACATAGTCTTTTTTAAGCAAACCAGGAAAGAATAAGGGTGAGCAATAAAGAAGAATAGGTAGGATGCAAGAGTTTACGAACTGTAGGATGAGGGGTTGAATTATACCCGAGTGTCTTAACTTCTTAATGTGAAATGTCAAGCGGAATATTTTACTGGATATCGCTAAGACATGGGAAGTCCAGGAGAGATCAGAAGAGAGAATAAGTCCAAGATACTTAATTTCTGATTTGATTCCTATATCATTGTCGTCAGTTTTATAAGTGTCATGAGAATCGATGACTTCTTTTAACTGTCGTTTACATCTTAAGCTGAAATCAACAGTTTGACACTTAGAAGGATTCAGTTTAAGACCGTTAGACTCAGACCATTTGCTGACTTCCGATAGAAAGCTATTTATTTTAGTACAATATAGCTGGGAGTTAACAGCCATTGAAACCGTTAAATCATCAGCATACTTCACAAAGTTTATTTCGTCAGAGTGAGGCAAGTCGTGCAAGAAGAAAGAAAAAAGAAAAGGAGAAAGAACAGCACCTTGAGGGACACCAGCTTCAGTAGGCAATGAAGTGGAGGACTTCCCTTTATATACGGTGTACTGCTTTCTTTCTGAGAAATAGGAATGCAACCAGTTAACAGCCCAACATTCTGTTTGACTAGCAGCAAGTTTATTTAATAAGATGTCCCTAGGGACCGAGTCGAATGCAGATGTATAGTCTAGGAAGGCGCAACTGGACGGTTAGTCTATTCACTTCCAGAGCTTCATCCTACTGATCAGAAAGCGGAATCTATTGCATTCTATAGGTTCGATGATTTGAAAACTCTCTTCGGAAGATCCGATAGAGACTGAATTAAAATCTGTATGTGACGTTTTCTTCCTTTCTTGATGATTCTTAGGAAATTATCCCGTCTTTCTTTCTACGTCAAGAAGTTAAGACATTCTGAAATAACCCAACCCTTACTCCTACATTTCGTTAACTCTTGCATCCTACCTATTATTCTCTCTTGTTCCCCCTTAGTTTTTCCTGGGCTACTGAAGAAAGACTATGCCTTATTACGTAGGGTGTTGAAGGTTGTCAGCAGAGTGGTAAGCAATGTGCCACTTAACCAGCTTGTTAATATTCTGGTTGACAGGCACATGGACTCATGTGAAAAATGGGCTAAATCCATTTTATCTAACTCACATCACCCTCTTCATTCACCACAACTCTCCCCTTGTATCTCATTAGGGAAAACCAGAAACCTACCTATATAGAAAACTATATGCTCGCACTAGCAACTACGAAAACTCAACCATACTCTCCCTACTTAGCTCGTGTTCTGTGCGATAAAGAGGAAAGCATTAGGCGTGAAACCTTTAACTTATTAAATAGTCAGTAGAACCATTGGATCTCATCTTTCCAGCTCATATCATTCATAGGTAGGACTTTTTCTTTCTTTCTTTTCCTTTTCTCTTTTTTTCTGTTATGTGCTGTTTTGTTTCTGTCTTCCTTGCAAACTGCATTCAAAACCTTCTTCTTTGTTCTTTCACACTGCGTATATCTCGACCTTTTGTTACCGCTTACGCCAGTAAATATGTTGGCATCTACTATTCTGATACCTTGAAACACTGTTCAATTTTGGCTTTTTTCTACCGACACGCCAATATGTTGTTGTCAAAACTATCTGAGGTTACCTTTAATCTATGTAGAATTTTATTTATTGTTAGTGTACTAATTGGATGCAATACTGTATGTAGCGAAATGCTGAGAATTCCATTCTTTATCTCAAGTACTACTTTGGAATAAAGCAAATTATTATTATCCAGGATAAACGTTCCCTAGTGAAATGTTTGTTCTCAAGGGCCTGAAAAATATGGACGAGTGACACATTGATGGATGAGTTTCAACATTTACATTCAGTTTTATTAGCTAATAGTTATCCAGAGAACTTGATCACTTGTCACAGTAAGGATAGACCACACTTAGAAAAGACAGCTTCTGTACCAAAGAGAGCTATCTTTATTAACCTACCATGCAAGGGTGACCAGATTAGGCCAGTTGACAGCTTAAAGACTTCGGTCAGCCATCAAACGCACATTCTACGCCGCAAACCTTTTTCTCACTTGCTGAACATTTTCGACCTCTGTACCTACGATTGCAGGACGAAATTCTGTGGACTCTACTTCAAACTGTATCTACAGTTTCACCTGCAGCTGCGGTGACACTTATATAGGCAGAAGCAATAGAATGTTCCAATTTCATCGAAAAGAATCCCTACTAAATCATATCGAAAATCCCAATGCGATTAATCTGAATAGAAATCCATCATCATCCATTGCAAAACGCTTATTAATGTCACGTCACAAAATCAATATTAATGACTGTTTCACAATTATTTCAATTATTAATTCAAGGTTGGTGATTGAAGGTGATGATGGAAGCCCTTTGTGGGATTAATCACATACAGCCTAAACTGTGTGTACAGTCAAAACAATAGACTTCAATCTTCGCCTACCCTGGACTACATGACCTATCTAAATATGATTGGTCATTAGTATGTACTTTTGTTTTTATTTATTTAACTGATTAATTGTCATGATCTTTATTTTATTTTATTATTGTTAGCCTTGTTAGTTGTAAAGCGGTTGTAAATAAACTATGAAATGACGACATCATCTCGCGGAGAAATTTGTCTTCTAAATGCCTTATTCAATAGTTATCCACTTAGAATTATCAACAGAAACATGAGAAAAAAAACTGTTCCTCATCAAATATGTAGGAGAAAATTGAGATGGATCAGGTATACCTTGAAGAGGCTGCCGAATGATATCGCGCGCAATGCAAGCCATCACTCGAGTGGAGTCTGGATGGAAAGTGAGTTGTGGGTCATCAGTGCGAGGGTGTTGTGGAGGAGATCGTGTAGCGAGGAAGCGATGAGAGATTATGGGCAATCACGGACACAGCTGAAGGGGGCGGCAGCAAACAGAAGGAGGTGAATATGTGTTGTTCCACTCGGAATCCAAGAGAATAATAATAATAATAGTAATAAGAAAAGTCTTCTCATGAAACTGAAATTCATAGATAACGTCAAAGCATGAATTCTTGGAAACATCATCTTCTTAAGAAGTCATTACAAGCGTCCATCTTACGAATCATATTCTCTCCAGGAAACAGTCAATTCAGTCATGTGTTAAGGAGAAGATACCACTTTTGCTCATCTTAGTGTGGGATTTTAGAGTATACTGGCTGTACACAGCATCAAGTCCACAAATGTATTTTGAAACAGTGACCAGCTTGGCTAATCCGGGTAGAAAACATGATTACAAGTAGCTCTACCCTAGGGGAATTTGCCAACTTTGTACATTAGATATACACTGATATTGCATAAAAGGACTTCGATCATGCCATTCATTCCTAGCTGAATCACTAGCTGTACAGGATATGAAACCTCCACTTTGTCATCCCTTTCTAGATTATAGGGGATACATTACGTGATGTATTATTCTTCAAGAACATGGTTCCCAGCATGTGATTGGTTTTACAAATTCTTTGTTAAATATAAATACACTTTGTCTTTAACACTTTATATTCCCGATAAGTAGGTGAAATAGCTGTGAGTTCACCATTAAACTCGGTTTTAGCAGATTTCTTCCTTGTAAAACTTGAAAATGAAAGATTGAGTTGGATATGCATTACCATTATGTCAATGATACACTTATCTTAATTCCTTGAGAATGTTTTACTATTATCAAAGTTACCTTTAGTTCCTAGAGGAACATAAGGCTTCAGATGCACGTCTCCATTGCATTCGGTTCTCCGCCAACGTTTTCACCTGGCTCTATGTCTGTCCACATGCTTTCATCTCCTCTTCCCATCACCTTCTCCTCCATGTCACGCTCGCAATGATGACCAACTCGCTGTTTCCCATTAGGGTTCCATTTGAGCGATGGCCTGGCGTGTGATGTTACTCACTTGATGGTTTTCTCAGAGTATGACCAATCCACCTGCATTTCTTCCTGCTTTCTTGTTTGTTGCACAATCGGTTCCTGCTGGGATGGTTCGCTCATTGCCAGAGATCTCTGATCTGATTGGTCATCTGATCTCGAGTTGTACTTAGTGAAGACAACTGTTGATAACGGTCTGTAGTTTTTTCGAATTGGCTTTCGTGACAGGACACGGTGTCAAGTTTCTGATCCGTATAGTAGCACTGACTTCACAATGGAGTTGAAAAGCAGGATCTTAAGATATTTATGTTCATGGGTGACACAGAGGTAGAATGCTCGCCAACCACGCCTCATGTGTTTCAGGGTTCGATCCTCGACCACTGGACGCGCTCCTTTACCTGGCTAAGTCGGTAATAAGACTGGTGAAAAAAAGAAGGTTAGCCATGGGACTACCAACCCTATCCCTTAAAAATAAACACTACTGTTACCGAAACTTGAAGTCTGTAGCTTGAAGCCCTAAGTTCCACTGGGAACGTAAAGGAATAAAATCAGTCAATCAAATCAAGAGATATGTTCACCTCTTTAAATACATCTCTGATGAGGACTTACATATTCTAGAAAGGGTTCAAAGGAAGGCAACGCATATGATTCCTGGCATGACTAATTTATCATACGAGGAAAGACTGGATAGTTTAAATCTCTTCTCCCTATTATACCATAGTAGGCAGAAAGGAGTTTTAATTACAATATTTAAATTTTGAATAATAACTACGAACTTGATCTATTCTCTCTTTTCCTTCCCAACAGGTGGTAGGAAAACCTTAGAAGACATAACAGGAGAGTTCAAAAAGCCAAGAAGAAATCATATTGCTATTGATTACTGGTTCTCACACCGACTCATAAACTCTTGGAATCGACTTCCAACAACCTTAAATGATTCATTCAAGAAAGGTTTTTACATGCAGAGAAATTTACTAGAAAAGGATTAACATAGGCTCCAATGTCTATGATTCAATGCCATTAATACGAGTTGATCACGGATTGATATCAGTTAGAGAACCATTGAAAACCAACCAGGGAGTACTGGACAGCTGCTGTTTCATCCTAGCTTGGGAATCATCGACAGTACGCACCCACTAGGGTACGAACCCAGGACCTTCTGGTTACAAGCCACTGGGACCTAACCATATTCAATGGCCAGCCCATGAATTCTAACTTCTACCAATTCGTGATTTAGCGCGACCCCAACCAATGTCGTTGGTGGGAAATCCATCCATCATGGAGTTCTAGTGAGAGGTTGTGACCACTGAGGTCCAATTAGATGTCACGTGTGTGTTGATGGATGTCCCATCAACGAAAATGGTTGGGGTCGCGCTAAATCACGAACTGGTAGAAGTTAGAATTCATGGGCTGGCCATTGAATAGGGTTAGGTCGCAGTGGCTGAATTGTATACGAGCTCGCCTTGTAACCAGAAGGTCCTGGGTTCATACTCTAGTGGGTGCGTACTGCTGATGATTCCCGAAACGAGGATGAAACAGCAGCTGTCCAGTACTCCCTGGTTGGTTTGCAATGGTTCTCTAACTGATATCAATCCGTAATCAACTCGTGAAAAACATAACTAACCCTTACAAACCAAACTATAAAAGAATACCATTATTATTAGAAAAATTAGGCAAAAAAAACAAAACAAAGAGTACTCAAACAATTATAAAAAACAACACCAAAGCTGACTCACATAATAATCATGAATTTGATCCAGTGTAAGCTTTGATACACCTTCTTTAGAAAGATCACCATATATTGATTCTGTTTCACGTTTTAATTGATCTGTTGAACCAGATCTACTTATGGTATTCGATGATAATGGAAGACTTAATGAATCTACGATTGGTAATAAACCAGTCATTGTAGCTAAAATATGCAATTCACCATGACAACGTGATTCTTGATTTTTCAGTGTGAAACATGTTGTCCAGTCTAGGACAAGTTTTGAAAATTCTAAATAAAATCTAATGAAAGAATAAAAAAAAAGCAATGGGAAGGGGTGGAAGGGAACAAGAATTAGGCTACCGTTGTGACAATTTATTCTACTTTATTTTGAAATATCAACACAAGTTATTGAACTATTTTATTCATGGAACTTCAGCAATCTGTTTAAATGACCATCATATTCGGGATCTCGAGACTATCAGATAATTGGATAAGTATATTTTAAATATCAAACAGTTTTTTCTTTTCTTTTTTGACGTTTCCAGTGGAACATAAGGCCTCAGGCTGGTGACTTAAAGTTTCTGTGGCAGTGTTTAATTTTTACAGGATAGAGTTGCTAACCCCCTGCCCAACCGTTCCTCTTTACCAGGATTATTTCTGGCTTGGCGAGGTAAAGCAGTGTGTCGGTGGCCGGGGATCGAATCCCGGACCATGTGCATGGTCGGCAAGCGTCCTAACCGCTATGTCACCGACGCACCAATATCACACAGTGGTGGTGCAGTATTAACATTTGGATGACAAGGTTTCGAGCATAAATTATTACTACTCATAATTATATCAGTTTCAGTCACTCAGTTTCACAATCTGTCTTTTATATACATATATATCCCCTCTTTCTGTCTCTGCGAATTCTCTTTGTTGTCATTTGCCACTTTCCATAGGTGTTGAGTCGTTCTTTCTTCTTAATGTGTTAACAACGTCAGAGGCCGCCTCTTTCAGAGATAAACTCTGTACGCTTAAGGACTCAACAGATCCAATTAAGGAAAATAATATAATTTACCAGTTACTATGTGATGCTGCCTGTAAGGTAAAAAACATAGATCAAACTAGTAGATCGGGGTCAGTTAGATTATTGGAACATAAAGATTTAGCCATACCTAGAATGATTGACCCTGATAAGTTAAATAATTGAGAAAACGCAACTGGCTCAATTCAGGCCTGTGTTTACAGAGGGAAGCCGTGACCAGTAGGGTACAGCAGATTGAAGATGAGGCAGTAATTTATCGAAGAAGATATTGTGAAGTGGTCGCGCTACCTCAGTCATGGTTTCGAACCCCTTTGGCAGTGGGTGCGTACTGCTGAAGAGCCAGTCCTAAACTAGACTGACGAAACAACTGTCCAGTACTCCAGTACTGCAGGTTTTCCGATGGTTCTCTAACTGGTGTCAGCTCATGATGAAATCCTCCGTGCATATTAGTATATTAATAGCTCCAAAGATGCTTATGTCTCTAAAAAACTGTTATTTTTCGGTAATAACACAACTGAGATAAAAACATGACGTCTACAGAAGACCGTAAATTGAGTATTCAGTGCAATAGAGTTACACTGTCACCTTGCAGACAGTAAGTGTCATCTTGGCATTACCAACTAATTCTACTCTTGCTTAGCGGGGTTTGGCCATCAGATGAAACTTGAAGAAGCTAAATCTGCTCAGAAAATATTCCTATAGCTACTTTCCTTATCTTGGTCATCATTATGAATGTATTTACGCTAGTCCAATCAAATTATCCAATAGAGTCCCACAGTAGGTCAATCATGAGCGCCAATAGCCAACTCGATGGTAAAGTCTCTGACCACAGTACACACTGGATGACGTAGGTTCAAATATCAGAAGGGATATGAGTTCCTTCAAGGTTGCAGATACACCTTGCTGACTGACTGGTGAGTACCCACTAGCACGAAACCTAGGTCGAGCAAGGCTTCATGTGACCGATTGCCTTCAACCACCTTGAGCCACCTAAACTGGTTAAGGCCACACTGCAAACTTGACTGATAAAATTCAGTCTGCACCAAAGATACTACTAGACACACCCATGACACCAGTTCACTAACTATTGTTCAATCAACAAAGTTGTAAATGATTGTTTTACATTTTTAACTACTTTTAAGTAGTAAGTAGCATAAAATATATAATAAAATTTTTAGAAAGTGCAATACTTATCCTGTTGGGCAAACGATGGTTGCTGGATTCAAGTTTCACTCACTGAAGATTTCAGTAAATCTAGCTAGCGATCACAGATTAAGATGAAACTTACCTCCTAAATTCCTGTGGCCTAAGCTTAATGGTCATACGTCAGAAATCTCTCTAAATGTCAGAGAGTTGATTTCAACTTCAGGTATAAACGTGATCTTAAGGACACACAATAGTTCATACGATGCTTTTAGCTTAGACAGCAGTGAAATAGAAACAAAGTCAAGCATAACACACCTTTGAATAATTCGAATATTTGACCTTGTTTGGTCATCCCATACTCCGCCGATTTTTTAGAAAATGTTCCGTCTAACCTACTGCATTAGGAAGTTAAGACAAGTAAGAATCATTCAACCTCTACTTTTACAGTTTGTTAACTCTTGCACGTTATTTATTATTCTTTATTTCTCCCACTTATTCTTTCCTGAGTTACTCAAAAAGGACTGTGTCACAATGTGTAGGGTGTTAACGGTTTTCAGAAAGGCAAGTGGCGTGCCATGAAGTTAGCCTGTAACTGTCGGAGTTAACAGTTTGAGAATTTAGTCTAAATCCATACCATCTGACTCTCAACACCCAACTCTATTCTCAACTCTCCCCGCCTTGCATCTCATCAGGTCGAAAAGAAGAAATCATTGTAAAAGACCATGGGCTAAAACAAGGATGAACGGAAACTCAAAGATACCCTATTTTGCTCATCCGCGTTATATGTGATTGGGAGTACTCACACATAATGGAGTAAACTTTTCGGCACTAATTGTCAGGATTCATGGATTTCCCTTAAGCGGCCCAAGTTCGACTCCTGCGGGACAGGGACGCTTTTGCACGTCGGTGAGAAGGGCGATAGAATGCTCGCCAACTACGCCTCATATGGTTCGGAATTCAATCCCCAACCGACACACTCTTTTACTTCGCTCAGCCAGTAATAAGACTGGTAAAAAGGTGTGGTTGAGTGTGAGGCTAGCAACTCCGATAACGTAAAAATAAACACCATTGCTACCGAAACTTCAGGTGTCTAGCTTGAAGCCTTGTTCAACAGGTAATATGATGCTGTCAAAACTTTGAAGGCTGCCTACTTTCACCCATGATGACATTCCTAGTTGTGAGGAACAGGATTATGCAGCACATCTTACGTACATGGACAGCGGGAAAACAGAAGGAGGATCTGAACTTCTTGGATAATTTATATCTAGTGTTTTACACAAACTCGAAGAAATACTGGTGAAGATCAACAAGTTGTCAGAAGTACCAGCAAAGACAGCACTTGAGGCGAATCGATCAATAACCTATTGCTCAACATATATGTTGATAAAAATGAAGATGGATTGAAAATACTCTGACGATACCGTTGATGGACATCACGCGCCTCATCCACTAGTGGAATCTGGATGGAAAACAACAATTTGGATGTGAGTCTGTGGATGATATGGAGAAGATAGTGTGAGGAAGAGATGACAGACTATAGACAATCGTGGGTCCACATGAAGAAAACTGTTAAGAATAAGATGAATCAATGACGTTCTGTTGACTCCCTATGTTCCAGTTGAAACTCAAGGGAATTATCATTATTATTATCACTCCCTTGGTTTCATAGTGAAATCTAGGGCTTCAACTGCTTCTATCTTCTGCTGTGCTTTTCACCTGTATCCATGTTAGTTCATACTGTTTTCACTCCTCTTCACATGATCTCCTCTATGTCACCCTTGCACTGACGTCCCACTCGCCGCTTTCCTTTCAAGGTCCACTCAAGCTATGGCCTGACGCGCGTGACGTCACCCAGCGGCCTCCTCCTTTCGACACCGCCATCTGATCTTCAGTATAGAACGAAGACAGTTGTTGATGAAGGTCTGAAACAGGCCGTTCTTTGTGACCCGTGGTGCTAGCAACTCCACCCCGAAAGCTTAACCAAATCGCTAGAGAAACTTCAACGCGCAAATATGTTTAAAATTCTAAACCCAAGGGAATAATAGTTATTCCATATTTGTTTGTTTATTAAATGTATCACACTGTGAAACAGTATTGTATACTGGATGACGTTTCGAACACAATTAACCTATTGTTCATAATCATATCAATTTTTTTTTGATTGATGTGATTATGAACAATAAATTGTGTTCGAAACGTCATGTCAGCTTATGATGAAATCCTCCATCCCATTAAACAAAATATCTACTTGAAAACACTAAGTTCACGGGATACATTTCAGCAGTTATTAACCAATGGGAATCCGGTCTTCAGACAGTGTAGAGACTACTAAAGGGTGCCATTGGTGCGCAATATCGAAATAAGAGACCTATGAAAGTTATATATTCGCAATTTTAATACTTTCATAAACTTACCGACCAAGTAGATTTCCATTTTGATGTGAATCATCAAATACTTCACATTGGAGGACAGTTTTCATACCAGGACGCACACGAAATTCAAATCTTTCATTCCATAAAGGATTTTTTGTATGCATAACAGCCTTGAGATATGGAAAAGAAATAAAAATACGTCTGTGTATATGCTTGTGTTTGTATGAGTAGAATGATTTCGTTGAAGAGAATTCTGTTTTAGAAAACACAATGGTTACCTAACTGATCCCGTGTTAAATCTCATTAGTAAATTATATCATGTAATGAGCCACTAATGATCAGTAAATTTCAAATCCGTAATCCTACGGAAACTTTATTCTCCTGGGTTAAAATCTTCGTCACTGTGAACTGGTAGCAGGTCTAAAATTAATCCTGGATATGTCGAACTCCACCTACCATGGAGTGGCAAAGTGGCTGAGTGATCTCCTCCAAACCGTTACACAAGATGGTAGTAAGTCATAGTGTTAAAGACGTTTTTGAATTTATTGCCAACGAGGATGATATCAATGTAAATAGGAAGCAAATGCTTTCCTTAGATGTGGCATCACTGTTTACCAATGTACCACTTATGGAGACTGTGGAATTCGTATGCCAGCAGATACTAGAAAAACAGATCGACATCGTAATTCCAGTTATTAGTCTGAAAGAGTTGTTTTTACTATGAATGTACACTTCACATTCAACAACCTTAACTACAGGCAAATCGGTGGTATTGCCATGGGTTCTCCATTGGGACTGATTTTGGCAGATTTCTTTCTTGTCAAGATTGAAAATGGTCCATTGAAAGAAGTAATAGAAAAAGCTGATTCTCATTTTTCATATGTTGATGATACGTTTATTATTATTCTTGATGTGAAAGTTGACAAGAATGAAGTGTTAAAAAATGTTAAGTGATGAACATCCATCGTACATCTTCACTTGTGAAGAAGAACATGATGGTAGACTACATTTCTTGGACGTCCAATTGAGCAGAAGAGATGATGGTTCACTCAAGAGAGAGGTCTATAGAAAACCTACATCTGAAAGAACAATATACACGTTTCCTCAGTTATGTACCAATCCGACACAAAGTCAATTTGGTCAAATGCCGCCTCACAAATAGGGCAAGATGTATCTGTACAGATGAATCCCTACAAAATTAGTTAGGATGCATCCAAAATACGCTGGTCTAAATGGGTTATCCTAGTAGACACATGAATACCAGGTACAATAAAGAAAAACCGACAACAGTTAAAAAGAAACAACTGTTCATGAAATTGCAGTTTAATGGGGACGTGGCTAGCGAAATCAGAGATTATTGAGAGCGATTAAACGGTCGTATACTGCCACCACCCTCTGTTTCTCATTTTCCATCCGACCAATTTTGATTGCTCAAGTGAAAGATAAGCTACCTAGCTGTGTCACTTCCATGTGTATCTATAAATTTAATTGCTCCTTTGGAGAGAGCTCTTTATAGGGCGAATAACTAGACAGCTTAACAAACGCATTAGTGAGCATATTCCTTCATGGTTCGGAAAAGTTCAAATAAAATTCATACGAAGTTCTATTTTGGCTCATTTGATCGATAGCAGTCACCAAGTGGACAAAAATAGTTCCTTCAAAGTTATCTATCGCATTCCATCGAATCTTTCAAACGGAATCAGAACCCATCTTTTACACTTAGCCGAAGCTACGGGAATTCGAGAGAACAATCCTAGTCCTTGTATACAAAAGAAATTTGTTCTACCTTTGTTTCTCCCTTGCTAGCCTAGGTGAATTCTATTCAAAACCCTCCTACCCTTTCTTATCTTCCGTCTCCTTCGTACTTTTATGATATTTATTTAAACTGGTTTGAGTGATCCTCATTGTTAATTTGACGTTCAATATGTCCTTTTAAGTTGGACTAAGTCTATTTTCTCACCTTCTAACTCTTTGTTATATATATATGCTGAGATTTTGTAAATTCCGGTTTATTAATACTTTGATAAAGCTATCAGCAGCAGCATTAAATAGCGAAACCTCAGTAAAAACAATATCTTTTTGTTTTTCATTCATTGGGAAATACAAAAATACCTTTATTATAATGAATTAGTTCAAAACATTTACCACATTATTATTATTTGATCCACAAAATCACCGTCACTGGTTAAAATTCTGTTTTATATACAAATCTATGTAAATTAGAGTAAAGCCTGAAGAAGATCTAATTTAAAACAATATTGTTCGCTTATATGTCTTGTTCTAATATTATAAATAGGAATATTTAAAGATTTAAAATTAATCCATCACAGTTCTCTCAGTGAGTTCTCTAACTGATATCGATTTGTTATTAATTAGTTAGATGCTGGGTCAATGCTGAAATTCACTGGCAATTGCACCTTGGAGTGATAGGCGTTGTGTTGATTAGACTGCATTGTATTTGGTGTTGAGTTGATTAGTAAGGCTTCAGGGATAAACCTCTCTCTCTCTCTCTCCACCTAACTATATCATATTTAAATCCTCTCAACCTGTTCCACCTTACTGTGTGTGTGATTACATGCAAGTGAAAGCAATGCAATGGGTGAGCTTTTTTCTAGGTTATTTGAATTACCACGATCAGTTATTCTGGGTCCAGGTAAACTTTTATGTTTCAGTAATCTAACTGACCCCGATCTACTAGTTTGAAGTATGTTATTAACCTCACAGCCAGTATCACATGGTAATCAGTAAATTATACTATTTTCCTTCATTTGACCTATCGGGTCCTCAAGCCGACAAAGTTTATCTCTGTGAGAGTTGATTGGTTGGTTAGTTTAAATGTCATCCTAATTCCGTCCCCACTGAGAATCCTATGTGGTGACTCTGATGTTCTTTCTTTATAAAGCAGTGCTACACAAGCTTAGACTTCTATATCATTGATAGGATCCCACATATTTTGGTATTGACTGTTTAATCTTGCATATATGGTATGTTATCATTCTCACACATTTTGGTATTTACTGTTAATCTTGTATATATGGTATATTATCATTCTCACACATTTTGGTAGTGACTGTTAATCTTGTATATATGGTATATTATCATTCTCACACATTTTGGTAGTGACTGTTAATCTTGCATATATGGTATATTATCATTCCCACACATTTTGTTATTGACTGTCAATCTCGCACATATGGTATATTATCATCTCTCACGCACTTTGTTATTGGCTATTAAGATCAATTATTTCAAATGCTGTTAGCTGTCCATATTGTTGTAAAATGTATAAATACCATGGCTTTCTTTGTCGTTGTTGCACTTCAATACACAGTCACAGTCCAGCCTTTGTCTTTTGATATTTGCGTGCTTTACTAAATCGGAAGGTACGACAAGCAGATAGGCAGATTAGTTCAGGCGCAGACAGAGCAAGGTGAAAACGTCTTCATTCAATTCCCTACAGTTATAACAAATTGGCGACGGGGTTTTACCTTAATTCATTGCAGTTATAACAAGCAAACGACGACAGTTTTTATTCTGTTCAGCGCAGCTATATAACATTTTTGACTGTGTTAATTACAACCCAATTACAATGTCTATCTCTCTGGACGATCTCAAATCTATCTTGCAGCAGCAGCAAGTTCAGAATGAAGCAGCTCAACTAAAATTAATCGAAGCTCTCACTCAGAAGCTGTCCATTCAAGTTCCATCAACATCTCATTCTGACAAATATGAAAGCATCTCAAATTCCATCAGTGAGTTCAACTACGACCCAATATCTGGTCTCGTATTTGATGCATGGTTCAATCGTTACGAAGACGTTTTCCGTATTGAATGCTACATGTTTGATGATGCTGCCAAAGTCCGATTGTTACTAAGAAAACTTGGTACTGTTGAGCACAACAGATATGTTAACTTCATTCTGCCCAAGAACCCACGTGAGTTATCATTCGATGAGACAGTCACCGTTTTATCACAAATCTTTGGTGAACAGTCATCCATGTTTAATATTCGGTATCAATGTTTTCAGTTGACAAAAATGCCTTCCGATGATTATGTGACTTACGCTGGCAAAGTGAACAAGGAATGTGAAAGGTTCAAACCACACGAAATGACATCAGATCAGTTCAAGTGTTTGATTTTTATTTGTGGGTTGAAGAACCCAGAAGATACTGACATACGAACTCGACTTCTGTCACTCGTGGAACAAGACCCGAAAATGACTTTACAAATGGTGACAGCAGAATGCCTACGTTTAATCAACTTGAAGCACGATACTGCTATGGTGGAGTGCAAACGACAGTCGTCTGAATTTGGTTCGATTAACACAGTGAAAAGTCCTCCGATCACCGTTAAGCACACAGAACGTCAGTCTCAAAATTCAGCTAAACCTCCTTCAGTGTGCTGGCACTGTGGTTCGTGGCATTTTGTCAAGTTCTGTCCTTTCAAGAAACATAAATGCCGTAATTGTCACCGTTTTGGACATAAGGAGGGTTACTGTACACCGCAGAAAAATTCTTCGGTGAGGAACAGAAGTAGTCGTTTCAAGCCGAAACAATCTCCTCGAGTACAGACCGTTTTCACAACTTCCAAAGTCGAGTTCGCCAGCAAACGTAAGTACATAACACTAGATATTAACGGCAAACGTATTCGTCTTCAGTTGGATACGGCATCAGATATCACCGTAATTTCCCGAACTACGTGGCGCAAACTTGGTTGCCCACAGATTCTGCCGACCGAGCATGTCGCCAAGAATGTCTCTGGAGATATACTGAAACTCGTGGGTGAGATAAATTGCCAGGTTCAGTTTGGTGAGCATCACTTCAATGGTGTATGTTACGTTACAAACTACCATGATTTGAATTTGCTTGGTCTTGACTGGTTAGACAAGCTCCATATCTTTAATGTACCATTAAATTCAGTATGCTCTAATGTTTCGTCTTCACCACACAACGTTGTTCCCGGAGATGTATCTGATCAATCTCTCTTGCAACGCCGTCGTCAAAAGCACGCTTCTGTCTTCCAGGACAAACTTGGTTGCTGCAAACTGTTTGGCATCCAGCATATTCGTAGCCCCCCGTATCATCCCCAATCGAATGGACAGACTGAACGTTTCGTCGACACCTTTAAGCGTGCTTATGCAAAAGCGAAGGGGGAGGGAACAACAGAAGAAATTTTGGATAAATTCTTGCTGCATTATCGTACGAATGAAAAAGGACAGTTATGTGTCAGACACACAGATCACGCTCTATCCAGTACCACGCAAAGGTCAACTCGACAAAGAAGAGCTCCGAAACCTTTTCAAATAGATCCAAAAAGCAAGTCCTACACTCTTTACGGGGAGAGGTGATAGGATCCCACATATTTTGGTATTGACTGTTTAATCTTGCATATATGGTATGTTATCATTCTCACACATTTTGGTAGTGACTGTTAATCTTGTATATATGGTATATTATCATTCTCACACATTTTGGTAGTGACTGTTAATCTTGTATATATGGTATATTATCATTCCCACACATTTTGTTATTGACTGTCAATCTCGCACATATGGTATATTATCATCTCTCACGCACTTTGTTATTGGCTATTAAGATCAATTATTTCAAATGCTGTTAGCTGTCCATATTGTTGTAAAATGTATAAATACCATGGCTTTCTTTGTCGTTGTTGCACTTCAATACACAGTCACAGTCCAGCCTTTGTCTTTTGATATTTGCGTGCTTTACTAAATCGGAAGGTACGACAAGCAGATAGGCAGATTAGTTCAGGCGCAGACAGAGCAAGGTGAAAACGTCTTCCTTGAATTCCCTACAGTTATAACAATCATTTCCGTCATTTTTATTGCTAGTCTTAATTGTTTCTGTGGTTCTTCATAGATTTCTGAATAAATTCTGATGGATAGTTAGTCATTTACTAGTAATATAGCAATACCAACATGGAATTGATAACTAATGAGTTCAACAGCTGCCATCATGCCATCTAGTTCACACCGCAACCAGAGACTAACTCTGAATTCCATTTTTTGAATGTTTTTCTAAAATTGAGATCTGATGGTTCCCTTCAAAGATCAATCTACAGGAAAGCAACATAGAATGGTCAGTACACAAATTTCCATATTTAGGTCACTTTGAGAAGAAAGAGAAATCTGATCCATTCCTTTTCCTCAAGAATAAAGAGGATATGTTCAAGTGATACAATCGATAGGGAACTGGGACGACTCAGACAAGTCCTCATAGAGATTGGATATCCTCCAAGATTTATCGAGAAAAACATGAAGTTAAGGGAAAAGCCTGAAAGAATCCAGACGGTGACGAAGAAACTGCTTCTTTTGAGTGTTGAATTTAAAGGTTATACCTCAGCTGAGATCCTGAAGAATCGCTTATGCAGATCACTGGGGAAAGCCTTCTTTATGGCTGAGCTACGTATCCATTTCTACAGCCGATAAATGATCAATGGATGTGTGAAGGATAAACTGCTGCTTTAGACCACCTCAATGTGTGTTTATAGACTCACCTGCTCTTGTGGAGCAAGTTATATTGGCTGCACAAAGCGACCTCAAACTTTCCAAACGCATCTCTGAACATTATCCGACATGTCTAGCAAAGGGACAATGCAAGACAATTACTAGCTCCATTCTCGAGCATTTGGTGAACTCAGCTCACGTAGCTCCACCAGAGTCGTCTTTCAACATCTTCTACAGAGCGAAGCCAAATGGCACAAAAGGTGTCAGGTTTCGGCTTTTGTGTGTGGTGGGGGCGCTGGCAATTCGTCAACACAACCCTGAACTGTGAATACAGAAAAAGTTTGTCCACTCTCATATTCTACCTTGGTCTTAACCTCTTCACTAGTCGTTCCCTGTAAAAAAAATTTGATATTTCTTTGCGTTTTCAAATTTTTAATTTTACTCTTAGTTTACTTTTGCTTTGATAATTAATTCACTATTATCACTCTCATATGCTCCTTCTGTACATTTCACACTTGTTAAATTGACACTCAAATACCACCTTTATTCTCACTCAATAGGAATTTTAACCTTATCAAATTTCTATCTTTGTTCGTTGAGTACCACGTGATTTACAACTTTTATTCTTCACTTCTAAAGCCACTACTTCTGAGTAATTATATCAATTATGTCACACACCACCTATTACTCAATAATAGATCAGTATGTTTTTTTTTGTAAGTATAAATACGATTGTACAGCCTGTGAAGATGATTTTTGTCGATAAAGAACATCTTCTTCGCTGAATTTGTCTTTTATTTTCTCCATAATTCAATGGGTATTTTCGATGAATATTCTTTCTATTTGTTTGGTTTCAACATTTAAATCTTCTCGTCTACTAGTTAGGCTCGTGGCCCGATTACACGTACATGTAACTCAACCCATCTTGCTTTACCAATTCTGGATTGGATAAATTAAGGTCCAGCCTGAGTATTTAGTAAAGTGTATGTGTGGGTTCCCTATAAACGTCAGTATCTAATCCACCATCTTCTTTTTCGTTTTATTTTACAGTCCGTCTAGCATGGTCAACTCATCTTGTTCATTTTGAAACTGACAAGTGAATTGGATTGAGTATTTCTGATGTAGTTGTGTTCTCTGAGCTGAATCGTTTATTGAAGTATGCGCTGTAGATGTTGCCTAGTAGATGGGCAATGAAAGCGCTTCACAAATTAACTATCCAGCTCAGAGAAAACAACTACATCAAAATCGTTCACCTAAGCTATAAATCTTCTCCATCATGCTATTGAGTCTTGAAAATGAGGGATATGTTAAGATTTCAACACGTAGTGAATGTGTCATCCACAGAATCTCCATCATAATACTGGAGCAGAATTGAACCTTTATAAGAGCTCTGTATTTCCAACTGTTCATAAATATGACTGCTGATATTGAGAATCATCGGCAATACGCAACCACAGGGGTTCGAATCCAGGACCGTCCAGTTACAAGGCAAGCTTGTATACCATTCAGCCACCGGGACCCGATTCAATGACCGCCAATCGATGAATTCTAACTTCCAGTGGCTGAATGGTATACGAGCTTGCCTTGTAACCGGAAGCTCCTGGGTTCGAACCTCAATGGTTGCGTACTGCCGATGATTTCCAAACTAGGATGAAACAGCTTTCCAGTAATCCAGTGGTGGTTTTCAATGGTTCTCTAACTGATGTCAATCCGTGATCAACTCATAAAAAACAAAATTAACCCTTACAAACCAAACTATAGAAAATAATGCGAATATTTGTAATGTCATCACCATCCTAATGTATTGGAACTGTATTGGAACTTTTGAGAAGTTACTATATAAATGGGTGGATTAGGAAGTGAGTATATTGATACTGAATGCAAATTGGCACCTCACTTGAATATCGAGTACATTTGTGGTGAGAGCTGGCTGCAGGTCAGCGTTGTAGACAACAGTTTACGTCAATGTTCACGTCCCGAATCAGGGTCACAAAAAAAAAACAATAACAATGCTTAACCTTGAGAAAATCACCAAACAATCACAGAAAACTCAACATGTGCAAATACGATTCGCAGATATGTGGCTTAACTTTCTGAGAATTGGCCACAAACAGATAGCAGAATAACCTTCTACAAGAAAACAGCCAATCAGAAGAGGTAACTTCTCCGCTAACAATAATGTACATGAAATCTATGAATACCGCTTGATTTTCTCAGTAAACGATCTGTTTGTTGCCTGGCCCTTGTCTTCTGCTTTTTTACACATTTACCCTGGCTCAGTGTCATCTGATCCACAATGCTACTAAAATATTAGAAGACAGTAACTGACTTACCATTTGTCTAAGTGAATTTCAATTTTCTCACTGAATGATGGTGAAACCGAAGTCTTGGACATTTGTTGATATGTCAACTGGTACCTTGTATAGACGCTTCAGCAATTTCCGTAGATTAACATTATATCATTTACCCGATAGCGACTAGCACTGAAACTCCCGCCTGCATATTTCATCCTATTTGTGCCTCATTTCCAATGAGTGTTGTTACTTCAGCACCAGTGTGTTATCCACTAGACTAAACAGGCGTCTAAAACAGAGTGTGCTGCTTTCGAATCTCACTGAGGACAAAATCCCCCCCCCCCCTGTAGGTGAATTCAGGTACTTCCAGATGACGAGTTCAAAACCGAGTGAAACACACCTCTTAGATTCCACTGCTAGTTACTATTAGCTGGTAAATAATATCTGAAAAGAATTCATACAAGAAAACTGGATACGGACGAGACACAGACATACTGATAAGGATTTCGTGTGTAACCAGAAATCTCTTCACCTACCTTACTTTGTTGTGTTTTCATGCCAACAGTTAAACTTGCTATCGGGCATGGTAGATTGCTCTTTTCATCATCATGATATCCAGATGCACTAGACTCTGAATTATGACCACGTAAAGATTTCAACCGGGACAGTTTAATATTGTCTAAATCACTTGAAAAACAATTTCTTTGACGTCCACGTGATTTGAGATTTTTTGCTCCAACCAAGGTGATAATTAATCGAGATTGTTGAAATAAACTTTCCATTTGTATTTCGTTATTCAACGAATGTAATTTATCAATACTTTCTAATTCCCCACCATGATATCGATTAGTGTATAGTTCTAAATTTGTACCTTCATAGAATGAATATGGCCATATTGGTTGTAGCAGTAGGGATTGATTCTCATGTATCCATTTATCTTCAAGACGGCTTAAAATATTTTTCTCTAATTGTTTTGGTGTTTGTAGTGGTGATTGTTGTTGACCATCTTCACTTTGAAGATCATCGGTTGGATCGTTCAGTTCTATTGAGTCATGATTTGATCGATTACCTTGCCAGGTTCTCTGTTTAAATTACAAAATGATCAATCAATAAAATCCATAAATTGATAGTGTTAATTAATGAATATAAAAACATTCTAAATTACTGTTGTGCTTCACTGAGGAGTCCCAGTAAAGATGAATTATTCGCAACAGTAAGAGATAGATAGCACAGTCAAGTGACCTTAAACCAACCAATCAGATTCTTTGAGGTTAAGGGTGACATTCATTGTATAAAAAAGTATATTTATAAGGTATATGTGTCGCAAAAATGATTTATACAGGGCGTATGCTGCAAACATCAGTCCCAGTATCTCATAGAAGTGTCTATAGATACATCGAACCAATGTCGAGAGATTAAACTCATCATCTAAGTATCTATATATCTTATCACTTTGTGGACCACTTACCATTCTAACACTTTTTTTATAGATGGGCCTAGAATCCTGCAGTGGAACTTCTATGTGTTCGACTTATACGATTGACTTCATAATGGATATGGCCTAATGATGATATGGAATGACGATATCATTTGATACTGGAAATTTTGTCTTCCTTTCTTAATCGAAATTTACCAAAGGAACCAAATGTATGACACTTAATAGTGTGTTTGAGCTGTAAGCAGCTAATGAGAAATAAGCCAACGAAATAAACAATGATGGTATCATTTTATTCTACGAAAACCTCTCTTATTACTCTTACTTAATTCAAATAAATTAAGGCGAATAAAAGTAGGAAATTTCTCAAAAAATCTTTGTTAGAACATGCTAGAATCATAGAAAATGACTGCATTCACAACTCACTCGTGGATCTTTACTGAATTGAACGTCAGAGGTGAGAAAATAGACTTATGTCAAGTTAAAAGGACATATTCAAGGTCAAAATAACAATAAAAACCACTAAACCAAACATTAGTTAGTATATCTACCCTGACTGGTATCAAAACAAAATTTACCAAGGAAGGTGGTTTAGTGTGACGAAGAATTGTTGCTTTGTCCGCATAAAGGTGGTATAAACTACCTAATTGCTGTCTAGAGCTTCCACAAACTTAAGGATACGCACACGCCCAAACATTTTCTATAGATAGGTTTAGATATGATAGAGAAGATTTGTAGCTCAGGTGGATAATTTTGATGTGGTTTTCTTCTCTGAGCTGGATAGTTAGTTTGCGAAGCTTTCATCACCTTACTGGGTGACATCTTCAGCGCATACTTCAAATTCGACTGGGACAACGTTCAAATATTAGACAAAGGAAATAACAAGAATGCTAGAGAATTTTAGAAGCTTGGCATTCCAGTGAATCATCAATCAATAGACACATCGAGATAGACAAAATTTATCAACCAATAAGAAAGAAACTTCACAGACAAAGGGTCAAAGTTCAAGTCAAAGAAACAACCGGTTCCAATACAAGTAACCTAGAGGTGTGAAAACACACACAAACAAGCAATCACGGCTTTCAAGGTCACCTATCAGGAGAGATGATTAATAAACTCGTGGAGAAACCTAAAAGCTCACTTCAATTTGAAGTATGCGCTGAAGATGTCACCCAGTAAGGTGATGAAAGCTTCGCAAACTAACTATCCAGCTCAGAGAACAAAACCACATCAAAAATAGATAGGTTTAAAAGATGTGTAAACGTCATTTTTATGTACTGCCTCTATACTATGTTTCACAGTAGAAGAGCTAGGTCGTCTGTTCTCACCATTAATAGGTTCTGGGAATCCTATTTGCTTCTGAAGCTATTTAGAAATATGCCGGGAATCCCTTACTTGCAGCGATCGATGGGTCCTCCCTATGTGTGTGTGTGTGACCACACGAGCACTTACATTACTAGATATTGAGGAATATGACATCATTTTTCGTATGTTCAAAGGTTTTAGATAGAAATATTGACTTCAGATTCTCAAGTATTACGATATTAGATGAATAAAAAGTCTTTCCAACCGCAGCATTTAATCTTTGTCTAGTTATGAAGCTGCTATGATGCCTCATATAGAGTAGCTTGATGCACACGTCTCTCTTGGGGGGCGGGCGAGTTGGAGAGTGGGTCTTGGTGTTCTGACTACTTTCTACCTGCTGATGAAATTGTCTAGATATTTGTTATCAACCAGAGTTTGTGTCAACTTTCTTTCTTCTTCATCAAATGTTTCTTTAATGCATATTTGTTGGATTCTACTGAAGAAGATGCCAGAATCAAAGAAAGTGACTGTACTCACAATTCACCCGTGGATCTTTACTGCATTGGACGCCAGTGTATATAAATTTATAAACATGAACGTATTCAGTTAATTCTCAAGTGGAATCTTATGTAAGCATGATACTGCTTCTTCGACAAGAGTAAACTATGGTGAAGTTCTATGCTCCACTATAAACGCCGTGAAACGAATGGTAATAACAGTGACAGTAATAATAATAATAATAAAGGATCAATTTACGCGTTGGTGGGACAGTGGCGCAATTCTCGCCGATTACGCATGCGGTCCCGGGTTCGATCCATGGCCGCCGCAATACTTCACTTCGCTAAGCCAGTAATAAGACTGATAAAGAGGGAAGATTCAGCCATAAGCTTAGCAACCACATCCCGTAAAAATAAACACCACCACTGCCGAAACTTAAAACTTCTGCCTTGAAGCCTTATGTTCTATGTGTATCTATCAATTTAACTGCTCCTGTGGAGACAGTCAGTTACATAAGCCGTACAATTCAGGCGTGTTTCTCGTAGGATTTGCGAATATCATCCTGCTAAGTGGTTAAGTAAAGGACAAAACAAAATCTATTCGCAGCGCTATTGTATCCCATCTCGTGGGCTGATGACAATGAGGCAGCTTTCAGAGTCATTTACCGCATACCAACAAATCTTAATTTCGCCTTAAGATTTCGTTCACTAAATATTCCTGAGGCTATTGGGACACGCATTAAGAAGCCTAACTTATACATCCAAAAGAGGTTGGTTCAGACATTGCCCTTACCTTGCTGGCCATCGAGTTTGGAATGATCCTTAATTTTTGTGGAATTTTCCTAATTTTATTTGATATTCTATTTGCTATTATATTTTTATCAGTACTATAATTTAAGCATCTTTAATGAACTGTAATTCCATTGTGATCTTACTTTACAAAACGATATTATTTAAAGAACACATTGATATTGTTATTGACTACTATTCTAGAATATTCTGTGTATATAAACATGCATGTATATAATTGTAGAGCCAGAAGAGGTGGAAATTATGTAAAGGGATATTCTTCACTCAACTATTTTGTTTTTTATAGATGTCTCAATGAATAAAAAAAATATCAATTTATAGTAATTTAACTTACCATTAAACTAGCTGTTGATCCTGAATACACTGAAGGTACAGCAATGCTCTCAATAGTGGAGTAATTGTCATTTAATAGTTGCTAGAAATAAATTATTCAACAGATTGATTATTGAAGGTTATTCATTATTTTCTAATATGTATAGATTATTTCATGAATTAACATCACTTAAGGAATTGTTGAGATTGAAACAGGGTTAGACAGTTACTTTGTTCTAGCTTCCGGGTTATTAGACCAGAATCCAATGCTTAGTCTGTAACGTGAAGGTTGGATATTTGAATCCGTTGGAGGGGAATTTCGAGTGCGCATTGCTAAAAACTCCAGAATTAAGATGAAATAGTTGTCCAATGTTCATTAGATTTTAATGAGATCGATTCTTCACAAAATCCACATTCAAAAGAATCGAATTAAATAGGGCGAAAATTTCTTCACTCAAATCCCCCAAGATTTGTTTAAAACCCAGTCAATTAACCTCTCTGTCTCTTATGTGTTTCACACAAGTCATTGCTTTCATCGACAATGGATGTTAGTTGAATTAGAATTATCTCTGAAAAGAGCTTAGGGTGGTCAAAATGAACCATAAATAACAGATTTAATTCAATCTTAGATTTTCCCGTTGACAGATTGGATTGAAGTGCTCATTCTCAGGTTAACATGTCGGCTTCTTGAGCAGATGCTTCGATGATGACGGGCCAAGTAATAAGAAGTTAATTGGTGGATTTTGACTAGCAGTGGAATCCAGCCAGGTTGCGCATTTCGTCCTATTTGGGACTGGCATCAGCTAGCGGATGTACCTGCATTCCTCATTGGGAACATCATCACTCACTGAGGAATGCAGGTACATCTGCTGGCTGACGAGTACTAAATAGGACGAAACGCGCATCTTGGCTGGATTCCACTGCTAGTCGCCATTCACCAATTCATATAAATGAGAGAAAAACGCAAAATGCTGACATCCGTTATGAAAATAATGTATGCAATATCTTGCTAAAGCTGATAATAATTCAAGGAGTAGAGACTGGAAAGTGATGATTCGGTGTGAACCTTATAGATAGTCTTCACCAATTTCCTGTGGAATCCGAATGGAAAAAAAAAGTTTCGACATGGTTATTGAGAAAACATGAAAGAGATCGTGTGAAGAGGTAATCATGAAGCCAGTTAAAGGCGACTGTGCAGAAAAGGATGTAAGTGAGATGTACCATTTTAAACCCCATATTCCACTCGGAGGTTAAGAGAACAGTAATCATAAGCATTACAGTATTAACGAGAAATGTAACGTTCGCAGAGCAAATGAAAGTGATGACAGATAACCACATACACTGAAGATATGCAACTGGTGTCCTGCAATTGGAAAGTCAGGAAGAGAGGAGCTTCCATGTGTTAGGGTGTAACATAGAAAGGAAACAAGATGGGAAGTCGAACACACTAGTGAGTTTACAAGAAACCCATACATTCACACAGATATTTGGATTTTCGATTATCCCACCCTATGAAAGTAAAAATAGGATTAGTGAAATGTTTAAGTGACGATAGGGCGAAAAAAACTAAAAAGTACAAAGGGAAATCTAAGACAGGAATCGAGACATACAAGAGAAGCCTTGAAACTTAATAATTACCCTGATACATTAGTCAGAAAGTATGAAGGGAAATGTAAAAATAAAATAAATAATGATGGTAGTGATAGCGATGATAATAATAATAATAGTAATAATAATAATGACGACATGCACGTCAAACATGCTCAAGATAACGACAAAACCAACAACAGGGAATCTAGATCATCAGTAGTATATCCATACAAGCAAAGAACCTCGGAAACCTTACAGAGGATTCTTAACAGTACAGGAATAAAATGGCTAGCGTTCAAACCAACCAAAAACTCAATTAGTAACAAGCTTTGTCAGTTGAAAGATCCCGCCAATGGAGCCTATAAAACAAAACAATTTAGTTATTCTAATACCCTGCCTGCAATAACTGTCAGGTCAAATACATAGGTCAAACTAGTAAAACAGGGGCAGTCAGTCAGACTAGCCGATCATAAAACCCTAGCGAAATCAAGATTAGTTAACCCGAATAAGATGAGAAATCTAGAGGACAGTTAAGCTGGCTATAGCGCTACGTGCAGTTACACGTACAACCATATAATAAGATGGATGGGATAAGATGACAGTTTTTGACAATCTAATGTAACAGCAGGGTGGAGAAAGAGACAGACTGATAACGGAAAATTCCACACTGTATCTCAATTACTGTTTTCGGAATAAAAGCGAAATTATTATTATTATCTATTGGAAGCTTCATTTATCGAATCAACTGAGAATACGCGTAATAGGAATGATTCAACCAACACTAGTTCACCCAAATACCTAGAAAATTCTACTACCTCAACGACGACGAATAGGAAAGAATAATGGAAATCATAAAACGGAATTTTCATAGTTGTTTATTCATAATCGATGATATGATTATGAAGAACAAATTGTGTTCAAAACCTCGTCACCCAATAAATAATAATACTGTTTCACAGACTGTGTGATATATCCATCTAATAAACAAATTAATGTAGATTACAGATAAGTCCCGATTTCAAAAATATAAATATTTTCAATTTTATAAGATAATCAATAACGTGAACCAGGCTAATATGACCAGCAGTACAACCGAGTAGACTATGAGTAATACAAAACAAGTGTTCTGATGCGGACTACTCTAATCAGTTAAGTAGAAAGTCTATAATTAGAATTTAATTGATGAATGGTGATTAGCAACAAAATCCAGGATGCGCACTTCGGTCCAGTCAATAGACTGGAAAAATCTAAAATTCATTTAAATAATTAATATGACCCGTTGCACAAGAGACAGGTGTCGTGGCCCAAGTGATCTAGTGGATAACGCTTTGGCGTTTGAAACTATGGGTACTGGGTTCGAGCCTCGGTGGGAATATCATCATTCCCTGGGGAATATAGGTACATCCAGATGACGCGAATCCCAAATAGGACGAAATGCGCATCAGGGATTCCACTGCTAGTCACCATCCACAAATTAAATTCTAATTAAATTCCCAGACATCATAGAAGCATCTGCACAAGAAGCCGAAACGTTAACCTGAGACCGAGCACTTCGATCCAATCAATCGACGGGAATATCTAAAGTTCAATTAAATAAGCACAAAGTCAGCTACTAAAGCAACAATGTCACAATGACACACGAAAACTAAGAAAGAAGACAGATCGCCAACAGGAGCGGTTATACTGCCTCTAACAGTGTTCAAATAACCGTGCCTATTCAGAATTCATCTATAACAGATTTAAAGGGTTATCATCCAAAGAGAGTTTCGTCTTCTGAAAGAGTTTGAAATGGTAAAGGGCTCCATGAATGAGCGACATCTGCGAAACATAGTTATTCTCAGGTCAAAAGTAACAATTAGACAGATTACAGACGTATGACATACTTAATGTCTTAACGTTATTGTGAATAGTAAATTTTATTGGAAAGAGGTTTGAGGTAGAGAGAGAGCAGTTATCGAAAAGTACTCACTGCAATCAATGCTTTTTATGTGTCTTGAGGGTTATTCCATTCCCTCTTAGATTTCACCAGTAACACCTCTTAATTATTGTAACACGTTTTGCTGACAAGACGTCATGGTAACTTGAATATACAGCATGCTATTCGAATTATTGGTATTCGATGGTTGAAGGCGATCTGCCACAGGAAGCCTTGCTTGAACTATGTCTCGTGCAGTTAACACTCACCAGTCAGCAAGGCGTATCTGCAACCTCTAAGGAACAACTTATATCCCTTCTGAGATTCAAATCCGAGCCACCCAGTGTTACAGACACAAACGTTACTACTGTGCTAGTTATTCAGGCTCGAGACTGACCTCCAGTAGGACTAATTTTATTAGATACTTTGGCTTATGTAAATATTAGAACAAGACATATAAGCGAACAATATTGTTGTCTTCAATTAGATCTTCTTCAGGCTTTACTCTAATTTACATACACTAATATATATACAATCTTAGCCAATGACGGTGAGTTTGTGGATCAAATAATAATAATGTGATAAATGTTTTGAACGGAGTTAATAACGATAATTATAATGATAACAAAATATTGATAATAAGGCTTATACAGGTGATAAGAATAACAAAGATAGTATATGTATATATGTGTATATGTAGACAATTCAATAAATAATTTAGGTCAAATCTTAAAAAGTGAAATGGAACGATAATCAGAGTTTAAATAAATATCATAAAAGTACGAAGGAGATGGAAGATAAGAAAGGGTGGAGGGGTGGAGTTTGAATAGAATTCACCTAGACAAAGCAAGGGAGAGACAAAGGTAGAACATAATCACATTTATTCATCAATACTACTCCTTCTCCCTTATCACGTCTACTGATCATAGTGTTTTCGTCGTTCCTTAACTTTCTTAGGGCTTCTCGCTGCTCTATAGCCAGTAAACTCTTACTAGAATGACTACTGTTTTTATATTGTTGACAACTGTCGACTAGTGTAGTTTTAAACCTGTACGGTCTGCACAAAGTACATAAACCAGGACTTCCTCTTCGCCCACTCCTGGATATGTCAAACTCCACCTACCATGGGGGTGGCAAAGTGGCTAAGTGAACTCCTCCAAACCGTCACACAAGATGGTAGTAAGTCATAGTGTTAAAGACGTTTTTGAATTTAACAATAATAACAATAACAATAACAATTTCGCTTTATTCCAGAAACAGTACTTGTGGTACAGTGTGGAATTTTCAGCACATATCTACAATATTGCATCTAATTTCATCGTACATTTAAAAGGAGTATTATAAAAAAAATAAAATAAAATATTTAAAAAACAAAAAAAAACAATAACAACAAAAAACCAAAAAAGAAACACAGAAATAACAAAAAAATGCAATAAAAATACCAAGTAAAAAGGAAGATAAACACAAATAATGAAAAAATATTTCAGTATTGGTTAGTGGAAGCTACGATATGAGTATGCGTGGTGAACAGTAACAGCTATAATCATACGGGAAATTATGAGATGTTCTTAAAAAAATGTTTATAGCTAAGATGATCA